ATCATGAATTTTATTAACACCCAAATGGATCTACGTATAAATACACATAATGAATATTATAATGTTGTTTGCCCCTCTCTAGACTCTACATGGATTTGTTTCGTTTCGTTTTGTTCTGTTGTTGAGAAGTGATTCGTCATATTGAGATCGGCCATTGTGTATAGCATGATGATTGTGATGTATACAGTCATGACTGTATTGTAAGTTAGAGTGAAACAGCGGGGTATTAGGATTGCGTACAATGACCTGAAAGGATGCATTTTTATCCCAGCATGCTCTCTCAAGAGGTCGTCATTCAAATCGTAAATATGACCCCTTGACCTCTAGTGCTTTGTCTCGACTCAAAGATTTCTCTGGGTAGTTTTATTACCAAGTCCTTGCCCGTGACATTGAGTCGATGATTGTAGTGATACGTTTGTGCGCAAGGCAGTCCATAATTTATTGTATGCATTGTGACGTACAGGTGTATAGCGTTATTGTGCGGTAGGAATGGAAATAATGAATACTGGAATATGCATGATAATGAATGCACAATGGAATTGATATAAAATATACTGAACCTCACGTGCAATGTAATTTTGATTGCATACAACAGTTTGTGATAATAATGATGGACTAGTAACACTGAAACAAAACATTGCAAACTATCTTAGGACTATCATGTAGTGACGCTTAGAAAACTGATTAACATGTAAATGTGAGGTTGTACTGTAACAATAGCTATAAGACACAATGGTTGTATCATGTATGACACATACCTAACAATTCATTAAAGTAAGCTACGAATGTGGAGGTCATTGGACTATAATGGGAAGCTTAAAACAAAATCAATTATAATCTAGTCGATACTATATAAAGAAACATAACCATTGTATTTCCGTCAAACTTGTTATCATCTTGCCTTCGCGGGCTGTCAAGACGTTTTTAATGATTTTCGCGATGCAAAGTAATATGTATATTATACATGTAGGTGTGGACCTGCATATAGAAACCATAAAGCGTCCTACCGATTACCGCTCAAATTTCAGTGTAAGTTTTGACGTTTCCATGGTGATTTTGTCTTTATTGAATGCTCTTTGGCAGATCGCTCCTTAAATTATCATCGAAATTGAAAGTAGATAATATTCGTAGGAAGATGTGTCTGCGTAGCCCGCGGCGAGGAGATAGCAATCTTTTTTTCCAAATGAAGACTTTCAGTATCCGGATATATATGTAAGAGATGATCACGATGTTTTCCTCGAAAATATGATGAACTAAAAATAACATTTTTACACCGTGTATTTGCATCCGAATTTCCTGAATTGGGATTAAGATCAGTTATTTATTGACACGTTTTGTGCCTTCTCTCCTCTTTGTGTCGGGATGGAGATAATTTATTCCAGGAGTATCATAGGCGTTTACTTCTTTCTATCCTGCTTTAATCCTCTCAGACAATTTTTATCACGACCCGACGCCGCTTTCCTAATTGTCTTTTTTCAATTTTCTGAACTACGTGTATTTATGGAAAACAACCAATCAACTATCTCCTGTAAATTGTTTATGGATGTTATCATGCTATTAACAGAATGTGTGTTTGTGTTTGTAAGACATTGCAAGAATTCCAGATGCTGATATGATTAATGATAAGGGCGTGGATTTATCAGCTGTATTGTGAGGCACGTCATAATATTAAACCCTGTATATACCCTTTGGCTATATGTTATAGACCCCGAATAATATAGAATCGAAATGCAATGCATTGATTTTTTTTGTTGATGCGCAGGCCCACAAGCGATTCGTTATTTTCTCCGGGCGTCGTATGCAATGTGTCCTCTGTTTCAACTTCCTACCGTGTATTTCTACTGATCTTATGTGTGAATGACTGAGAAAGATTGTTAAAGATTTATCAATCTGAACTTGTGCATCTTACTTTTGTGATTACAAGTTGAATCGTAAAGCAACCCTCACAATGTCCCCCTCTCCCCCCCCCCCCCAACGAAATGCATTTCTCCTTATAAGCTCGTGCATATTACTCACCGAGATTATTATGGACCAATTTCTGATAAAGTATTAATACAAATATTATAAAATACTATATTTCCACTTAACTTAATAAGATATTCTGTCATGTTTAACTAAACATGATTCTAAACCAATCCCTCAAATATTATGACGTCATAATGTATGTAGTTTTCATTTCGAGAAACAAAATATATTAACCGTGTTCTAAACTAAATGCCTCTTATCAAATCAGACACACGTTTAATAAATGCATTTTTCAGTGCACGCACAGTTATCAGTAACGTGTACTCTCGGTTTAATCAATTTTTATTCTTTTTCTCTTTTTGGTCACATTCGAACAAAGGAAACATATATTTCTGTAAGATATTAAATTCAGCGCGAGCTTTGGCAGTTTCCCTCTCAGAAGGCGAAACAAAATTGGAGACCAGCCTTCCTGCTTCTTCACATAAATACCCGAACACAAATAGTTGAGTTTATTATAGTCTGCACCTTTGTGCTTATTGCATTTCCTGAAATAAGGCTTAGGCATCTGTAAATGATGAGAAACAAACTTAACTAAGTGTCGGTGTGTTAGTTGATAGATTACGTTTGTGTAAATAGTTTTCATCGTACTAATCATAGTCGCAGGGCTATAGACGCCAATGTGTATCGATGGATTCGATGACAGTTCTAAACCAACTTGTTTAAAATAAAACAACTGTATTAATTACATGTAGATCACCTATAAAGGGAAGCACATTGTTCTCACATTTAAAGTAGTATCGTTCACATTCAATTTGTTATATTTCATTATAAATCACAACAAATAAAAGTAATGTCAAATTTTTTTGGTAAACTAAAAATGTTGAAGTAATTGATAACTGATATAAATTTTAGGTGAGGCGTGTAAGGATGGGCGATTTAAGGAATAAATGCATAATTGTAGTACAGTAGTAGTAGTACCATTGATCAACATCGTGTATAGATGACTCTGATCAATTGCAAAGCTATCTATACACAGGGTTGGCCAACCTGGGTTCACTTGGTATCAAGATGGCGTATATATTCATTTGTTTTGTGCTTGCCCAACAATACAGTGTTCGCCATTTTGTGCCCAACTCTAATCGGGTTGGCACCGTCAAACCCTGGATCAACACAATGGTCCACGGTCAAACTCTCCTAATCAATGACTCTGATCAATTATTGTATAACAATGCACCCTCTCCTGAACATTGACCATGTACATGCTTCTTTACACATTATACAAATGTATATAAATTCTGGATGATGGGCAATAATACATTACAGTTGAAAACGTTGCAGATAATACATCACAATATTTTAGAGTGCCATAAAATGTCTGAGAGCACAACTTTGATTGTTTTGAAATAATGGGTAAGGCTTTAGAAAAAAACAGCATCAAAGATTTGTAAACAATAAATGAGAAACTATTAGATACTAGTATCTTGTTTTTATACTAGTATCTTGTTTTTATAAAACAATCGTTCGCATTCTTCCCCATATAGAAACTTAATTTCCCAGTCACGCGAGTCAGTTTATCAATATTTGTTTTATCGAAAATATTTTGGGTATCACTGTCATATAAAGCTTCGTTTACTGCTTCCATGAACATGTATGCAGCGTCATATGCGTTTCGATTGTGTTCATTAATGGCCGTGAAGGACCAACCATATCAAAGCTAATTTGTTTACCTTTTGTTTTTGATTGTGTATAAATCAGATGAGTCACATACTGTAGTGGTTGGTCAACAACCGGTGACGTTGTTTTGATTTATTTTCAACACAAATTAGTAGCCATGCACCATAAACATTATTGTGCCCATTTTAGTACTTAGTGAAGTAGACGGTCGTAAGGACTTTCGAGAAATAAACTCAAGGGCAATTTGTGTACCCTCTTCTGTTTTCTCTAGGAAATTTTAGTCTGGTTTTGTCATATGCCATTTCAATGTTCGCACATTATAAAGGATGATGGGTAAAGCGAGTTTCGACTTTCGAGTTTCAAGATATTGACTATTGAGGTATCGCAAAGGGAGCCCTCTGTCTGCACACGAGAGACTTAAAAAAACCTTCATACAAAACACGAACAGGTTTGTCAGGACGGTGCCAATTTATAACCGACAGGACTCTATAATCTGGCATGATACTATTTTATCTTTTTTTAAACATATGATAATTATTTAGAAATTAAAAAACTACCAAAAAGAGGAGAGAAGTCAGTTGTATTATTACATAATATGATTAAAAAAAAAGGAAAAATTGTTGGTTATAATAGTAAAACTTGACTGATTGCCATAAAACACCAACAAATAATTCAATAACAACATTGTTCCAATTTGTTATAACACAATGAAACAAATGCCTTTTGACAAAGGACCTGCATGTATATACGGTAGTCAAAATGCATCGACTGAATGTCATAACATCTCTTTTTATAGAATGATATTTTATACAACGCAAGCTGAAACGTCATGACAGAAGTACGTGTTTGTCTGGGTTTTGTAGTTTATCTAGTATTTCTAATCGGGATGCGAGTGTCAAATTTGTGCATAATTTATATCACGTTGAGTATTTTTCATATTTTGACAGTATAGTGCTTTGAACACAGCTACATGTAGATTTGTTTTTCTTCGATATCATATCTGCATGCCTATCGTTCTGACAGTGTCGGTAAAACAGTCGGAATGATCCTAACCATCTTCCTTCATATCCATGTCCTCACATTTCCTGGACGGCTGGACCTATGATTGTCCTGATTCACCTGTCATACCTGTACGTTCCTTCTATACCGACTTATGTGGGTGTGGTCAATTAGTACGGAATATAATTTTAACCATCTACAAACCCTTCTTTTGTTGATATAGACATGTTGTCTGCGATGTCCCTTACGAAACATCACGTGTACCATCATTTTTGATTGGGCGTGGCCGGTTTCTGTGTGGGCGTGGTCTATCAGTACTGAATATAATTTTAACCGTCTACAAACCCTTCTTTTGTTGATAGTTCCCGGACCGTGCAAGACATGCTGTCTACGATGTCCTATACCAAACCTCACGTGTACCGTCATGTTCCTACTGGGCGTGGCTGGTTTCTGCGTGGGCGTGGTCCTGGCTTCCGATGAGACGGTCCAGGTCTTTCTCTGGAACAACACACTCAAGGAAACACTCTCAGATTGGTAAGCTTCTTAATCAATTTGAATATTTGACAAAATTGAAATGATGAGCTCTTCCCAACATGCGTAAATGGTTCAATTCAATTCGTTTATTTTAATTCCAGCAACAACAAAACATTAAAAGTATAAAGATAAGTATTATATTGGGTACGCAGAAAACCTAAATTTTGTAGTATTTCCTCAATATTCGTCTTCAAACACATTCTTGCAGAAGTCAGTGTTAATGACATTCTCTTTCACTTCATTATACAATTAAAGTGAATTTTTGCCATCAAATTTATGGGGCTCTCAAAACTTTAGAGAGGCTTTAACCTCTGTATAAACCCTCTCTGTCTCCAGGTTGCTCTATGTGAAGATCGGTGTAGCCATCGGGACTGCCGTCATGGTAATCCTCAGTGTGCTCTTCCTCGCTATGGCTTATCTAGGCACAGGTGCGACACGGAAGGAGTTCATTTGTCGCTTCCGGACACGTGCCACGGGACGGTGTCAAACCGCCGTGGTAAGATATTCATACATTTGTTTATCTTTTGCTATAATTCAATATAAAGGTTGCTATAAAGAATTAGACATGAACATTCTGAGTTGTCCCTTATATATTTGTTGTAGTCGGTCTCCCTTTAGCAGCGAGGTTCGTTTTCCCTTCAGGAGCGAGATTCATTTTCATATTTTGGGTGGCTGGAGAAAATTTGTACTGCTTAATTGGCGTGGCGGCAGATCATTAAGGATCATATCCCACCGCTGCCACCATGCCAATGATACAAACACTGACCTGCCAACAAGTCAAAGTACTAACCGGCCCTTCTGAAAAAACAATATTTCGCTTTTACCGGTCCGCACATATGAGTTACTATAGCACAAAATCGTTCTTCAATCCACACTTGAATTACATCAACACAAAAATATTAGAATTTTGAAATTATAATGTTACGTTTTAGAAAATTGATCAGACAAATTAACTTTAGGAATTTTACCACCCTTCAGTGTATCCACTGGACACATCTATTTTAAAACGGGAGGTGAGAGAGAGGCCCTCCGGTTTTTTTTCTCTTCAGAAATACAAGCCCTAATGAATGCTGTGAATTCATTAATTTGTAGACATATTTTAAACGGAAGTGACATCTAATTAGCTTAGAAGGTCATCATTTTACAAATACGTTATTTTTTCTCTTTATTTATCCTGTAATCATTTGACCTTTAGGTGATGACAGTGTCTTACGTTCTACTTCTCATCTGGCTGATCATACTACTGATAACGCTGATCCCAACGTTCTTCTTTAGCATACAAGCAGCCGGTATTTGTAGATCGGCCAGGGACAGTGATCAGCTAAGTCGGTATTACTACGAGTGTCTCGATCTGAGGCAATGGGGTGAGTGTATGGGCATGACTTCAATCATTCATGTGGAGGGAGAGGAGATAAAATTAATGTCAAAGATGGGGTTACAATAGTGATATAGCCTAACGAATGAAACACGGGGGTAAGGATTAAGGTAACAGATGGGTGTACTAAAGACAAGTAAGTTGGTTAAGGAAAGATGGTTCACTAAAAGAAACAAAAAAGAATAACAAATAAATTAAAGTGAAATAGTGATGACATGGAAAAGCAAAACAGAAACGATGTATGTCTAACTATGACAAAATAATAAATACTGGAATACTGAAATGATGAAATAGGGAAACGAAGATCATTTGGTCCTAGAATTTTATTAAATAAAACCACAATAGAACAATTTTTAAAATCTTTTCTGACTCAAAATGTCATTTTTGTATCTTGTTTTCTCCCTAACCAGGTTTAATCGACTACAACCAGGTTGCTTCGGATTGGGCCGATCCTAGACTACCGGCTGAGGGCGAAGAGGACTATTTCATGTGTGATGAAGATCTGGACAAAATGTGTGACAGTGTGAGTCTTATGGCTGCCACTTTGGAGTGTGAAATTATGTTGGCATATCGAACTCAAACAAACAAAAATTCAATATAAAAAACAAGGAAACAAAAATAGTTTTAGATTTGTGTGATACGTTCATGTTCTAGTGATGTTTTTTTATAAAGTTTATCTGGTTGTATATTCGTTGTATCTCTTCTCAATCACATCCGAAGGATAATTCTTGATTTGCCAGGTGTCTGTCAGGAATATGCAGAACTTTAAGCTCGAATCCATTCGTCAACACTCAATATTATTACAAATATTACAATCATTGTATATATTTTACACATCTTCTTTAAAGTTACGAGTCAGACACGTGCTGTCATCAAGGTAATTAGTTGTATCTTTAAGCTTTACGTGCCTCCATAATTATAACAAAACATTGTTTTTCGTGTCAACCATAACAACTGCAATTCAATGACATCATGGAATTATTAGTACCATAACTAATGGTTGATACACTTTTCTTCTTTCTACAGGATGTCCTCATCTTCTATGGCGTCACTCTTGCTGCAGCAATCATCGTCGTTATCTCACTGGTTAGTTTCCTTTCTCAAAATATTCCTTTTTTTAATTCTTATGGTAACAATTATTCTAGAATCCCCCAATGGAAAACATCCTCTTCATTTTTATCATCATAGAAGTCTGATCAGGGAAATTTTCAGAATGAAAAGAAAACTAAACATGACATTTGATTTGATGCAGAGAAACGCAGTTCTGAAAGTAAAAACTTTTCTCGTAAAGATTGTGAAACGGAGTAAAAGTGGTATCAAATGTTGCAGAACCTTTTTAATACAAGAGTTCTTGTCCCTTCTATATAATTCAATATTATTTCGATTCCAGTATTGAGCCGATTATAAATTACTTTTGCTGTTGGTTTCGTGGTTCAGTTTTATCCGTGATTTCATGATTGTTCCTTTTATTTCAATTTTAGGTCCATTACGTGCTCAACTTCTCTGCAAACTACGCCAAACTGCGCGATCGCTTCAAGGATGGTTACGTTGATAAACGCACTGGTACATACCTCCAGCGGACTGCTAGTCTCCGTGGTAGCAAGCGATCCCTAGCCGGTACCAGGGCATCACTTCGAGGTAGCCGTGCCTCAGTCCGCAACCTTGGTGCATCAGGAATGTCTAACGGTGCTGTCTTGTCAACTACGTCAGGTTCGACGGTCAAGAATGGGGCTTACAGGAACGACGCCCTCAAGTCCAGTCGTGAAGACCTCAACATGCACGAGCTAAAACTTGCCAACCTCAACGGGGGATATTCTGCAAGCAACTACGCTGGTAGCAACTATGGTGGCAGCAACTACACCGACAGCAACTATGGTGGAAGTGTCCTCGGGAGTGGTTTGGTAGGGTCTACTTACGGTGGTGGCGGTGGTCAAGACTACAAAGGACCAGCTGAAACCATCGATGAAATTCCCAATCTGAAGGAAGCTTACATCGAAACCTTTGATAATGAAGCTCAAGAATCGTACAACCAGCGAGACACCTTCCCAAGCCAAGTGTCCTACGAAGCCAACGTTCCTGTTGATCCGTACGTCTCTGCGAACATTAACAACGGCGGGGGTTATGGAAAACCCGACGCGTACAGGAAATCGGATGGCTACGGTCAGCCCAATGGCATGCGCAACAACATGTCTCAGAACGCGGATTCCTACAATGAAGGCTACGGATCCAACCTGGATAGGAATTGGGGAAACACCGGTAAGGAATATGGCAGCAACAGACCGCTTGGTGCCAATGATAATGAGTTGGCTATGCATAGCAGCTACAGCGGTATCAACCAAGCAGCGCCTAATAGAAACAGTCAAGGTAGTACCGGTGCTGCAGCCGGTGGGTTTGCAGAACCATATGTTACCCTACAATCATCAGATGATTCACCCCCTCGAGACAAACAAGAGTATTTCATCTGAGCGGGGCTTTGAACCAAGAACCTATTTTATCCGAAGCTGCAGGTACAGGAATGAAGTGGGAACGTTGTTGGTTTCCATTAAAAATTCAGAGCAGTCGTCAAGTCATCTTTCTTTTTGATGATTGACCTATGTTCAATAGTTCAATTCAAGGATAATATTTAGCCTACTGGGCTACTTTAAATGGCGGCCACCTTCGATATCGCCAACATTTGATGACGTATGGATGTTTTCATAGAAATTGAAGGAGAAAAAAAAAATCTTATGTTTTAAACGTGTAGTTCTGTGCAAGTTTTTGTCTCTACTTTTGCATTGCTGTTTGTGATTTAAAAAAAAATATATAGTTGAATAAAATGTTGTTGCTTAATTAAATTGTATACAAAATTACCTTGAACGTTTTTCTACTTCAGGGCAGATCAGAATGATACATACAAAATATTCAAAAAGCTTGTATATTGCCTTTTTTTAATTAGATGCGACCAATGGCGTTTACGCGCTTCTGAATGCAGATATGCCTTATTCCAAAACGTCACCTCTTCGGGAATTCTCGTGACTTATATGAATAGATGTAGTCGACATAATGTGCATAAAGTCTCAGTCATGAACGTCTGAAAATTGCTTTTAAAAAATTACGTTATGTTTTATCCTCAATGAAATCAGGATGTACCGGTATACATTATTGTTGCACACAAGGCAAAACGTATTTGTCTTTCCTCTTAATTCAAAGAATAAAATTGTGCAAGTTTCAAAACCCTTGGTCATAATGGAAAGATATTTTTCATATTCGCCCGTAACATGTTGTTTGATAGAATATCAAGTGCCTAATTCATTGAGACATTAACATTGCCAAACAGATTTTGCACCGACGATACGCAGATTTTATTCCAATTATTTAACACTAAAATGTATTTGTATTCTTTCCTCTGACTCTCTTACCTAATGGACATCGATTTATTCTTCAGGTATTCAGCTAATTTATTGATGTCATTATTTAATTGTTAATATGTATTCATTAATTAACATGAAAAGAGAAGAGAGAATAATGCAATGCATTATGCTCGAAGTTGTGGTGCAAGAAGGCCTATGCGTTGTGCCAACATTTCGAAAGTAACGGTTGTTGTTAAACAGAAGTTGTAAAGCTTATTGTTGTTTAGTAGTAGGGGTCGCTGTCACCACTCCTATTCACGTTTGTTTGAAACTCACATAGTTAAGCGAGATGTTTCATCACTCAACATTTCTTAGAAAGTTATAGTTTTATGGATTTAGCATTCGCTGTCATCATACCAGTGTTGGCTTGTTTTAACTTACATGTATCATTCTTCAACATGTAAAGCTGTAGATATAAACCATGTCCGTCATGACTGCCCAGCCAACGAGTTCAGTAATCAATTATAATTATGTTTCTGTTTAGAGCTTATTTCATTTATGATTCAAAGTCTTCACTACAAAATGTACGTAAAACTGACTTTTTTTTGCAGTGTTCATTTTGCGCATATCACTTTTGTGCTCTCGTTCTATATTTTCTGAAAAGCTATATAGCACACTTCGAATTCTTCTCCATTGCATTCTGTAAAATGGAAACTTACTTAACGGTGTCAACAAAGTTTGGCTTCCAAGAATGTAGGATGTCTTCTGAATTAAAAGAACGCAAAATCTATCCTTTTCTCTCTCAGATTTGTCTCCTCATCTATCTTTTTATACAAAACAAAATGCTGTTAAGCAATACCAAACAAGAGAATTGTCATCTTGCCTTTAGTGCGTTAATTGATACATGTATATAGACAATTAAATTAGAAGAGTATTCTGTGAATCATGGACAAAATGTGAATGTGAAATAGTTGCATTAATCGCTTATATTTAATTAATGTAATTAAGTTAACATCTAGGAAATGATTCTAGTTACATCCATTACTTTCCTTTTTATCCCAAGCCTTCCTTGACCTTATATTAAACCTTCTTCCACTTGTACTTTGTTATTCTTTGTCCTGTTCTTTTTAATAAAGATTATTCCTATATCTTGACCTGTCTGCTACAGATGAATTCATCTCGAATCTCCCTCGTTCAGATGGTGCTCTTTGTTTTAATCGTCTAATAGGTCTTTATCTTATCTCGCTTGTATAGAGCTTATTTCCCTCTTTTTATGATTAAAGCAGTATGATTGTTTCCATCGTTGCTGTATTTATATTTTAAAGATGTTTTGTGTGAAACCAACCGAAATGTAGTCATGTGCAAAGTATGGTATTGATGTTTGATCATTCTTATGCTTGTATATAAACCAGACAGGATGTATATATTCTAGTATACAATAGAGTGTCTTAACGTCAATTTTCATCTGCGAAAAAAAAAAAAATTTTGTGTGAACAAATCAAATCTGTAGCGGTGATCGGAACATTGTAATATTTCAGACATTTTCTAATGAAAAATAAAAATACAGATAAACGAACTGAGGAAACTCTTAGCCTTTTCATTTTTGTTTGATGTTTTACAAAGACAATGATCGAAAATAGCGTTACATCTGCGGGGGAAAATATGCAGAGAGAGACAGGAGAGGGAGAGAGAGAGAGTGACAGAGACAGAGAGACAGAGACAGAGACAGACAGAGAGACAGAGCAGGGAAGAGAGAGAGAGGGGGAGGGTAGATTAGAGAAAGATGGAAGAAGAAGAGAAAGGGAATAAATAATAGAGTGTAGGAGAGAGGAACATTGATTCAGCGAAAGAGAAAGAAGGGGAAAGAGAGCGAGGGGAAAACAGAGGAGATGGAGGAGAGGGAGAAAGAAATATTGACACAGAGAGATATACCCACGTTTTCATCCCAATCAAAATTTATATTTATGGAACACTATCGGAATTCACAAACAGTTTGTCGATTCCCCTCGTTTCAAATACTTCTTTCTCAACCATGTCAGACTAGAACGTAACAAATATAGCTTCGAACTCATCAATTTTAACTTCCTCAAATGATTTATTTAAAAAAAATGGCGTACATCAAAAATGGATATTGAGACATTTTGTTTGCACATAATACTATCGACACATAATTTGTTGTTATGACTGTGTCTGTTTAGGCTACTCATGTTTAATTATAAGATAAAGCAGTACGTACTTTTACGATTTTTTTTTCTTCTCTAAAAAACGTAATAAAATAGAATATTGAAAAAAATCTCTGAGTTTTAAAAGATGATTGGCATTGTGACACGTCAGATATCTAGAAATGCACTTTTTCGTATTTGTATCGAGACAGAGATTTATACGCTGTGTTTAGAAATTCGATCCTGTTTTCAAAACTCTAGCTGCAAAGCAAATTAATTATGAATTAGATTGAAGAATTTAGAACTTAAAAGAAAAATTCAAAACTTTCGCTGTGATATATATTATAGGTATGACTTAAATGGAAGAATTAAATTATAATTCCAAAATTCGGAAGCATTACATAATGACAGCGGCATGCATTCGCCCCCAGTATAGAAGACAACCCTTTTAAGAAGACATATTTCCATGTAATTGGCGGTAAACATTCACTTCGAAGACAATACATTCCATTGAATTTAACTATACACACACAATGTACCGAAATATACAAACATGAAATGCGAACATTGAACAAAAATGTACAGTTGTGAAAATGGATTACCGGTACATAGTAAAAACAAGATGCTTTGGTAAAAATTGCAGCAGTTTGAAATACATGTGCTTTATAATGATTATGGGGACTAAAAATACAATATAATGTACCAGGGGCATCGATGATAAAGGTAGGGGGGTTGAATCCTTTAATACTTAAAATTCTCTCGACATGAATGTAATTGTTATTGGAAGTTTTGTAAAGTGAATTAATTTATTCAACAAAATTATTGTAAAAGGGACACCATGGTGCCACGCCTTCAGAGGCCGCCTGGCTATAAGGAGTTTCCCACTGGGTCGCCTGATTTTTGGCTTGTGATCTGAGGGCCGTTGTTCTGTTCTCCAGGTTTAGTGGGCCGGTTAGATCGAAATTTCCCAAGCGAAATTCGGTCCTAGTCTGCCCATGATAGCATTTGTCTGCTTGAGTCTTAAAAGACCTATAGAAAATGATCACAGATTCATCATCGGTTTCTACTTTATTTCTTGCTGATGCCAAATCGTTGGTAAATAATTCCTTCTAGTCTACTATCTCGTGATAATTTGAATACAATTTACGTATACAAAAAAAAAAGACTAGAGTTGGTATTCGTAAAAGTTATTTCCCATTGCTTTTCGATCTTGAGCTAACGATTGTGAGTTGTCCTGTCCGTATGACGACATCGGCGCCATTTGATATCCTCCTGCATTATCCGCCGCATCGTAATCGTAATTATTATAATACCCTTGATTAAAGTTTCCCCGGTCGTAGCTCGTCGCTGGACCGTTGGTTTTAGAAGAATTGTTATAGCCTCCCTGGTCGTAGCTCGTCGCTGGACCGTTGGTTTTAGAAGAATTGTTATAGCCTCCCTGGTCGTAGCTCGTCGCTGGACCGTCGGTTTTAGAAGAATTGTTATAGCCTCCCTGGTCGTAGCTCGTCGCTGTACCGTTGGTTTTAGAAGAATTGTTATAACCTCTGCTGTAATAGTTATCCCTCTCAGTTTGCTCAGGTGGAGCATATTGTTGCTGATCCCAATAGTTTTCATCGAAAGCGGGATTGTGATGATCATATCGACTGCCACTGTCGTAGCTCCTATCCGCATATTTACTGAGATCGTTCTTATCTTCTCCCGTTGACCGTATCAGATTAGCGTTTGAAGTGTTCGATCTCGGAGCAGCGTTCGAAATGTTCGATCTCGGAGCCGCAGTTGAAGTCGGCTTCGCGTCGGCGAAGGTGACACGCGTACTCCCACCGTTTTGCTGTCCAAACCCACCATCATCGAATCCATACGTCTGATTGTAGATCTTTGACGACTGCATGGAAGACGAGTTCGAAGCTGGTTCGCTCCTCGACGATGGCGCCACCGGCATCGAAAACGTCGACGACATCGTGGTCACTGCTGGAGGCACATTCGCTGCCACCGTGGGAATAGATGTGTTCGATGACGTCAAGATGTTCGATGATGATCCATGATGGAGGTTGACTCGACGAAGATGAGCGTTGGAATCTTGGGATTCTTGTCTCTCCGTGTATGGGCTCGTACTCAGATCGTATGTTCCTGAGCGACGGTTGATCTTACCAGCCGTCAGCTTCTGTCGTCGTTTCCGTAATCTCAACCAGTTATAGTTACCCGCTATGCTCATCATGAAATGATTCTGAGGAATGGACACAAAACAAACAATTTTTTGTAACGAATGTTCTCATAATGTAATTTATCTTCCATTGTAATCATATTGAAGTATACGAAATGTTACTTTGACCATTAATAGAAATACCATCCAAGAAACATTTGACAACATGGATACATCTATAGGTCTACTCGTAATCCATGCAGCGGACATAAGGTAACAAGTGCTGAAATAACCGCCTAATATTTTTGAACTACACCTATGAAAGCTTTCCTCAAAGCATATTATAATGAGCATATTCTGTAGAGTGCATAGTATTATTGCCGGCTTAAAACGGAATTACGCTTTAGCACAAGCTTTACTTTTATAAAAGATGCAAAGATATTTATTGTGCTAATTATCTTTCACATGATGTTACATCCTTCCAAGCTATCTCTACCAGACATTTACCCGGGATGAATACCCTAAGACACTATTATACACCCGGACAACATTATCCCCTAGTATGGGACAGGTTTAACGAAAGGGTTGCCCGGGTCCTAGTGTGGTGGTATAGTTGTCCTGAAACGCTATAAATTCATCGTCTCTTACATTAATAGGGTCCCTCCCATCTCCCTGGTCTTACCATGCCGATTAGGACAAGAACACATCCAATTATTCCAAGGATGAAGTTTGATTGAAGGTTCTGAGAAATAAAAAGAGGAAAACAAATTCATGAAATAAATCACTAAACGTATAAATATATGGAAAAGATTATTATATTCGCAGATTCTGAATGTTTATTTTTGCCAAGCTGTTTTTGTTGTGTTGGTATAATAATAATATATTGCAGCTGGAGATGATGGTATTCAATAATAACTAGACCGCTTGATGGCGCTATCATGAACGAAGAATACAATGGCGTTCGAGTTCCATTAAAAAGTCAATCAGTTCCTACCAATTACATGAACATTTGTATATGATGAGAGGGGCAAACAAAATGTCTACTTATATGTACAGGTTCACTTACACTGTCACAGATGGCCTGTAGATTTTGTTCACAGATCAAGGTGCTGTTGATTGCTCCTGGGAGACTTGGAGGTGCGAGGCCTGATGGGAAGAAAGAAAGAAAACAAGTGTGATTATCAATGAGACAGGGGTTGGGTATAGTGGCGGGAAAATGTGAGAGGGAACCTTTTATGTGGAGATGAAAAGTAGGATGCGGGGGGAGGAGGGGAGAAGGAGAAACAAAGGGATATGAGGAAAATAGGAGAGGGGTAGAGGAAGAAGAGAAAGGAGAAGGGAGGACCAGTAGGATATAGGAGGTGAAAAGCAAAGGGGGATATGTAATCAAGTTATTCAAATAGTACGCTAAGAAATGTACACCTGATACATTTAAAAAAATCCTAGTACACTACAATAATAAAACTAATTCATATGGGCTATTGCATCTAAATAAATCAAAATGTAGCCTTCCTATTTTAATTTACTCACCAAACTGCCTGAGATCAAGACATGTAGAGGCGGTAAATACTGCATTGGTACAGATTCCACTGTGTAACATCATGAAGAATACAGTAGGTATAGCCGAACCAAACAAGAAGACATACCAGCCTAGATTGACGACGTATGCCACGATTATAAACTGTAGAAAGCAAAATAATGAAAAGGGGTAAATATTTTGAAGATTATACAGATCTCTCTCTCTCTCTCTCTCTCTCTCTTTTAATGTATATCTTTCGTTTTGATAATGTCTTAGTAGTATGATTTCCATGATCATTTAATGATTATTATAGTCTGTATAAAAACATCAACATTGGCATCATTTACAAACTTAAGAATTGAAGATTAGCATTAAATACAGTTTTACAGTCCTACTGAAACTTTTCGTCTTGCAGGGTAAATCACAAAAATAAACAGAAAAGCAGAACTCTGCATAGTTGCGAGACGACAAGAGTATTCGCTGCTATTCTTCGATGATGTAGTACCAATCATCTATTTCACAAAAGAATTGTAAATTATATATATCTACAATCAGTAACATACCTATTCGACCCCCCCCCCCTCCCCTTCCCCCACCGGCCCATCGACTAGTTAAAAAGGGAGGAAAAGAGAAAAAGAGAGGGAGACGGAAAAGGTGAAAAGAAGATTAGACCCCCTTTCACATCTCCCCCTAATCCATTGCCTTGTTTATTCACATTCCATCCATCGAGTTGTACTGATGCCCACCCCCCTCCAGTTGCCGGAGCCCCCTCAATGAATGGACCCAAGCTACGCCACTGATTGTAAATAAGAAGATGTATTTAGTAAAATCTTACCGCAGTCAGCTGTCGTCTGCCTGTTTGAGCCTTGTTAAAAGCACACCATGTTGATGCATTCTGATATCCCGTTGCCATGCAACCAGTAGAGAAGAAGAGAATAACCAATGCAACCATTAGCACCAGTCCAACGTAAGCACCTATCTCTATCCACGAGAACCTGAGAAGAAAAATTTAAGATTTCTGTAATATTTATGTCATAATACTTTAAAACAATATGATCATTAGGTCGTATCTAACATTTCTAATGAAAAATTGATTTTGAATTGTTCTGCACAGCATCATAAGCAAAAAAGCATCCACTTAGAGAAATGTATCCTGAAAGAACAATTTTTGACAGATAATTAGGCCTACGGCATGTTTAATTTAAAGAGAATTGAATCCGCTCAACAAACGCACAAAGAGAAAACTACACGGCATGCGGAAGTAATTTCGGCTAAAAACCACTAGGAGACAATAATCGTGGTTGAAAGTAAATTTGTCCAACATTTAAACAAATAGTCATTTATAATGAGTCACCCAAAATGAAATAAAAAATTAATTATATTTCTAAAAACACTTTTAAAAATGTATTTGTTTATAGAAACGTGCATTAGTGTCGGTCATTCTTACCAAGTATAAACTGCCTCTTCTATATAAGTGTTGCTGAAGAGTGGCCCAGCTAATCGACTGTTAAAACCTACGCACACGACTACCAACACGACACCGATCACGGTTAGGATAGAGGCTACGATAGACGACCAAGCTACTCGCTCACAGTAGTGCTTACATGAAGCTGTATCAAGGAAAACATTTGAAATTAAATAGGATTTTGATGATAAGACTTCACTAACATACGTGATCTAGCTGTAAAAGAAGCTGTTCGGTTTGTCGTAATAATAATAATAATAAACCGAAGTTTCTCTATGCACTTTACAAAGTAAAAAAAACAACAAAAAAACAATCAAGTACAAGTATATTTAAATAGTTACAAATTAAGAACGAAATATAAAGACCTTAAACTAAAGACATGTAGCTTCATAAAGTTTGGAATTGAGAAAATGATTGAAGTATCACAATGACAAAAAATACAATACTAACAAATAATGAATGTGTGCGGAGTGGTAAATAATGTTTATCATGTGTATCAAATTCGATGTCGCTAAATTTTGATATGTATATTGAAATGTTGACATAATATTTGGGCTAAGTTTTCAATCTGAAAACAGAGTCTGTAATTCAAGTACTTGACTTGATAATACTATTGGCATGCAGTATAAGTATTCTTCAATAATGATGTCGTTGTTATATTTATCATATCAAAATATTTGTATCACATTTTGCATCAAGTTAATGAACATGTATATAAAAGGGATGATGTTAACTTCAACTTCGTAGTTAAAAGTGTAATATAATAACTTGAACTTAAACATGGTGCTCTGTAATCTTAGAGATGATAGAAACCTCAAATCGGAAAGATCTTGAATAAACCTAGTCACTGTCGAAAAATGTAAGTAAAAAAGGATAAGAAAGAGGTTAAATAATTGATTATACTCTCACATTTCTGTTCTTCTTTTTCTCCAGGGTGCCTCTCCGGATCCCCGTCCATGATGACGGTTGTCAGGCTAACCTTTGACCTGCCGTGGTTATCTGTGTATGACCTATGACCTGCTGATGGCTTCCTTAGTAACCAGATCTCCTCCTCTGTTCAACTCAGATGACAAGCTCGGTGATAAATTGACCACAACTGGTACAGGGAAATTTAGGTCAGTCGCCAGGCACGGAATCAACAAATATGATTATTGTTTTGTTTATCTCGATTGATTGTATTTTTAGACCCACACGGATCACTCTTCATACACGTTCATGTCTACTTTCTTTTTATTATAGTTCATAGCGTTTTCACCTTCTATTGATTATGATTACACATATTTTTATTCGCATTGTCATGAAATTATGTTGCTATGATGATTTCTTCAAAGCTGTTCCTCAGTTGTAGGAGCAACATGAGTTTTACATTTTGAAATCAGGGGGAAATCCTTGAATTCATTATTTTCTATTTTGAGATGAAAAGAAAAAAATGATCCGCAATGTCCTTTTATCAGTAATCGCTTACGAATGTCATCATGCACTGCTCACCAGACCGATTTACTCTGTCATTGGAGAAACCTGAAAAGAAAAATGAGAAGAAAAATACAAGATTGAAATGAATATTTTCTGTTGAGTTGGAAGGACAAAGGCCCCTAAATGTTTTCAGATTGTAATATGTTAAATTTCTTTGTCTGAGGTTGAAACACTCATACAAAGTTTAATGTTAAGTTTTCTTTGTCATTATCATCCCCCCCCCCCCCCCTCCTTTCACTAAGGATCTATTTTCTTGTTCTCGGCTTGTACAATTCCTTTAACAAATCAGCCATGATTTCTGGCTCGTTTGACAGGCACTTTCAAGTATACCAATAACTCAAAGTCAATTGAATTGCATTATGTATGCGCCTTCTGAAGTGTCATAAAACCGCGGTTAGGAGCAATGATATAGCAGACATTAAACTAGCAGGTACATTTCACATCAATGGCCTCAATAAAAGTGCTTTGCTACAATATACTAGCTGTGAGGAATCGTATATCCAAATGCCACATCTCTTAATCTAACATGTTTGTTGTGGTGGGACATTTTTTTCTTCATTTAGTAATATCTCTGTTTTACAATCCCTTTTCATAACATTGGTATATTAAAACATGGTGGATCGAGGAAACAGGACTTTTTTTAGATCTTGATTTACTCCGGAGGCATCTAATGCCCGTTTTTTCATTAATTCTCATTATGATCCTAACACCGCTTGCAATATTTAGCTCATCTTTCTGATAAGTTGCATAGCCCTTTGAAGATTACATTGTCAGGGGATACTATAGTTAAAGGCAGTACACACCAATACTTATATGCTAGATGATCAACCTTTTCTGATCGATTTCAAAACGTTTCTTTCACAATGCAATCGCATGACCAGAACTGGTCTATACCTTTAAAAAAAAAAAAAATGATGAAGTTGGAGGATACGTCAAATAACATTTTCTGTAATTTCGGATTTCATTTACACTGTAGCAATATGCAAACATATCCTTGATTTCGCTTTCCCCTGTCTTCATGGTTTCAGAATTATGTACTCGCATTATTCAAAGAAGACAAGTCTGTTTCTTGCCAAACGTTAAATAAGGCAAAAACAACAATTTTACTTCTCGAACAAAGGGGAATGTTTGTCAATTTATCATACTCGACTAGATCTTTTATATACGTATACCACTTCATGCTTAAGTTTGGCATGACGATAAATTTGTCCTTCAGAAACAAAGGCTGGAATAAACATGAAAACGTGCAGTAAAAGTTAGAATAAGAAATAAGAATTTCTAGTCATTTCATTTGAACGTTCCCATGCAGAACAATAAGAAAATGTCGTTACATGTATGCTTGACTTGACGTCACTGAGAAAGAAAATATGAGAAGTTGGGAAGAGAGAGAGAGGGGGAGAGAGAAAGAGAAAGAGAGAGAGAGAGAGACGAGACGAGAGGATGAAAGAGAGACGAGATGTCAAAGTCCATGTGATTTCAAAACTTGACAAACAACACTCGCAATCAAAACACGTTGAACCACTTCAAAGTGGTACTGGTATGTACTGTATTTAACTATTGGGCTACACATTCTACTTATTAGAATTTCAAGGGAGGGAATTTCCAATGAGATTTTAAATACGATAATGATCATAATAAACTGCCATATGGGGCTATGGAGGCGAGGTCACAAAATAGCCCCTTTCCCATATGTTTTGAATAATCACTTGTCTATATAAAGTATGTTGTCAAATTTATGCAAACTATATTTGAAGCTTCTTGTGTTAATATCAAAGTATAGTCGGTTGAATTAAAGAGCTTTACCTACAATTTTCAATGATCCTAAAATACAAAATTTATGATGATCGTTAAATTGTAAAAAACGTTTGGCGTGCCCTGAGGCCTGATCTTTCAGAGTCAACTCTAAACACAGGATTTGATTTGAACAAAACATACATACTGCATTAGAATTGCAATTGGTTCTAACTGAATTAAGACTTATCTCATCTCTGTTTACATATACAACCACATTGTCAATAATGTCTTAACTGTCATGTCAATATAACTGAATTAACAAAAACATGTGCGTCATATGCACATATATTTAACATCTAGTTTCGTTTTCGATCTAATCTTTAATCTCCACCAAAAAAAAAATATGTTAACTGTAATCATCATCACCAAGTGCAAAGTCTGGTTACAGAAATCGGCGGTCCTGGTCCTCCATTTCTGTCTATTGTCTGCTATTCTTAAAAAGCTGGTATTATGTTCAAACCCCCTGTAATAGCTGTTTGTTAAGATCACGGAGCCCCACAATATCAAAACACTGATACATGAAGTAAGTAAGATGGCTTAGCTAAACAATAAAATTGTCGGATGTACAGTGTAGGTCCAAACTGGTAGGTATTGTTACAGTAGTGTCAGTGTAGGCATTTCAGGTGAAAGCTTGATATGTTTTGTTTCTGACTACTATCCCACTGGGTTTCACAAATCGATTGGAAATGTCATATTCTGTAACTGAGTATAATCCCGGAGTTGTGTTATTTGATATTGAAGAGTATTGTGGTGGATGGCATGTCATTCACACCTATGCCTATATCCATTCCTTCCTCGCGTATATTCACTGCATGCACTTCCGTGGCGCCTCATACGTTTAATATTACAAGGCGCCATCGACACCAAATTGATTCCTTTATACATAACAGGTATGAAATAACATGATAAGCATTATGCATGAGTGAAAATAAGGTAGAATATAGTTTAGTTATATACACAAAGAATACATATGTCATATATAGTCTACTACTTATTGCTATGGACGTCCAAAAAGTCTTGTGAATGTGATGCCGCGCCATGGAAGTCTAACGTAATGATAAAAATCACTGTTCATTCTGAGTAACAATGCATTGATGATAAAAACGCATAACAATCACATCAAAATCAATAATGTTTATACTTACATTCAAAAACACCATTCAGAGATTTACCACAATACAGCGACACAGTGAACGCTGTATACAGATGCACTTGTGCTTATAAAAACATCTCTAATACTACTGCAGTAGCATCCACTTAGTGTGTGAATACTAGTGGATATGCACGCTCGAAGATAGCTGGCTTTCAGCACTCAAACAACACACACAGACAATTTTGTATTAGATTTCTCCATGATATGCGTAGAGAGATTACCTCGTATACACACTCATTATGTGTACATCGCCCACTCGGTGGGAGGGTCGGTATAGAGCGCACCCGGCCAGAAATCACAGTTGACAATATTTTCCACGTTTGGGAATAGGGCCAAAAGATAATTGGTATCGACAAATTTTGGGTGACAGAAAAACAATACTGTTCTTGTATATCTTTTTATATGATATTTTCAATTCCAAAATAAAACATGACGGTTACAACCATATTTTGTAACTGGAAAAGGGGCATTAATTTTTCATTTTCGAGTATTTTCTTTGGTATATATTGTAAGCTATTATTTTGATCAATACTATAAATGTTCATCGACCAAAATCAATGAGTCCCCACGATGTTGACGGAAAAAATGTTCACCTATCTTTATTTTTTTTGGAAGGGAGGATGGTCATTTTCCCCTTATTTTTCCCATATTCCTCAATTTTCTACCCATATCCATTTTGAAATCTAATAATTACAAAATTATAGCAGTTTAAATACAGGCAAACCTGTCTATAGCTACCGCCCAAGGGAAACACAAAAAGTGGTCTTTGTAGACAGATGGACTTTGAAAAAAGGTGGTAACTAAAGCAGGTTTGACTGGATTATGTTATACATGAATAAGTTTTCTTTTTCTTATGGTAATGGCATTTTCAAAATGAAAATTGCTTTAAAATATCCATTCTTGAATTTAGTAACAACATCCCTATATTTGATGTAAACCTCTTTTCTCCAGAAATAAGTAAAATAAGTACTCTTCTGATTTTCACCGAGCCTTTTCCAAATTACTAAAAACACGCATGAAATCCTCAAAAGTGTGTCAAAAGACCAGATTAAAATACCTGAGGATATAAATCACCATTGACTCGAAATAGAATGGAGTTATCTTCTAGACTTTGTCATGTTTGTTGGTATTTCCTCGTTGTATTCAATGACCTTCCTCCGTTCTCGTATCTCTAACAATGATTTGAAAGCCTGAAAATATTCTTTCAAATTGAGTTCAGTCACATTTTGTTTACCTGTAGAGGATGTTTGCTTCAGCCCACTAAGTAGTTGGAATGAATCACCGATTATTTGTTATACTTCACAGTTTAGAACTCAGATGATTAAGGATATTGAAATTCAACATTGTCATTACATTTGAGACACAAAATATATTTCAACTGGAATTACGGAAGACGATTTTAAATGCAAGTTAGTTTGTGTCAGATGGAGAGAGTTTAGTGATGGTATATGTATAAACCTTCACGTTTAATTATGTCGTTTGACTTGCCATTCACTGTTACTTTGAAGTTTCTGATTTTAATCACGGGAGGTATAAAGTCAAAATTATTCAGAATGCCAATATTTACATACAACCAAATATACATAAAATAATGTACCTTACACGTAAAATATAGTACACAAATTTTTATCAGCAAGATGATTTAAATGTGTTTCATAAAACATCAACAATTTGGACATAATATTTGGGAAACAAGTTATCTGCATAATCCAGTCTAGTCATGTAAATGCTCTTTTCCAGTTTTTTTAGACAGGGTATTCATATTCATGCAAAAATGACCATACATATATTATCAGTCAGTATATAATCAACATTTTCAAAAACATTTTGCATTAAAATTTGGGAAAGGATTACATACCTATTTGATAAAATATTCATTGCTTACATTCTATTATTACTATTAGGCATTACACAAATTTGGGGGTGGGTTGATACCAGACGAGTTCAAAGGTTTAACTAATTATTGTTCCCTCAAATTCTTTTGAAGATAAACGGTGTGACCGTTTCTTGGATTATAAAGTAAATGTGTACAAATATCTCTCTCTCTCTCTCTCTCTTTCTTTCTCTCTTTCTCTCTCTCTTTCTGTCTCTTTTCATTTTTTTCTTTTCTCAACCTCTTTCTTTTAATCACCCAATTTTAGTCGATGTCTTTGGCTTCTCCCACCTCTTTTTCCTCTAATCTTGGAATGAATATAATTATATTCGAGAGATTTAGAGTGTACACATGATTTCACCATGGTTTCATTTTCGTACTGTTAATATGATCAAAACAAAATTACAACTACCGGGTAGACTTAAAGTAACGATTGCATGTCCTCCATAACTGATAAATAAAAGACTCAAAATTGAAAGCGTCAAGGTATTTGTCCTTGCATATCTATAGGCCAAATGATGATAAAGATACCCATTGGAAAGGGTTCGTGTAGGCCTATAGTACTTTGAGGTCATATATATTTTGAGATCCTCACTATCCACTCACTCATGAATACAAAGAAGACTCGTTTGAATGAATTCTATGAAAAGGGAAAGCAAAGCTCCGTCGTTTGTACAATAGATGAAAGGTGTACTCCGGTTTGCCTATTCTATTATTAACAGCAGTTTACAAGCAATTTTGTTTTCTTACCCGATGTAAATCATAAAAGCGTGCGACTTGGCTAGAGGGGATAGGGACTATGAACATGACGGACAAAGAAAGAGGACAAAATATACAGTTCCTTATTCTACCCTCAACAATTGCTGTGGTAGACAAAGGAATATCCCTTCACTGCTGCTATGTCAAAATGTGTAGAACAGGTGTCACATGCATATTCACCTGTTCTACACATTTTTACATAATAGCAAATGAAGGGATGTTCCTTTGTCTACCACAGCAATTGTTGAGGATGTTAACAACATCAAGAAGTCGGAAGAGTATGATAAACGAATGACAGTATATGAGACACGCATCGGGATAGCAATATTAATGGAAGGGTTTCATATCGGAAGACACAAATCACTCGGGCTTTCATCTTTTACCCAAGGATGCAAGAACATTTGCCAAATTGCTAGTGTCACAATTCACTGGCATATTATAATCATTTCCGAATTTTATATAAAAACTGAAGAAGCCACATCGTTTAAGCTCATGGTTACAAGGAAAATTCTAACATTTTATCCCGGAAAAGAAAATCCCGATCACATCGTTAGAATGTGTGTATGTGATTTTGTTATTCACAGGCTTACAGTAAGAACTCGTATAAACTCCTGATTTGTACCACGCATCTCTTTATAATTTGAATGTTGTCTACTTCTTGTAATTTTGTCCATTCTAGTGGCACTATAATACGCAAAACAGATTGCAGTTTTGAGGTTCCTCTATTTATTGCACGTCAGCAATGATATTTGGCTTGGTGACACACAATGGTCGGTATTAAACATATTTGTAAGGTTGTGTAGACGGTTCATAATCATATCAAATCATAGCAAATGTTTGCTCCTATATAATAATTAAGCAGAAGTGCACGTACAATGAATGCACTTTTAACGGTCTTCATGATAAACCAAACAACTTGTCTATTTGCATTTGTCATCGTATCAAGGTTTGCGCTACCACATTTTGCTCACCAAAAAAAAATGCCTCGGATTTAATTCAAAGGAGACGCTTACCTTACATCAAGTGTATTTAATAATTTACAGAATGATCTTTATAGGACCTATAATAATAATATAATCGAAATAGGTCAGAATTAGGGATATAACGAATAATAACCCGGACAAGTTTAATACGATTTCGATTCAAAAGTACTCATAGCGAAACGTTTCACGAAATTCATATAAACTTTTCAAAAATGTGATATTCCAAACTTGTTTTCTTTTTTGTATTTCTTTTATTATTACATAATCTCGTTTAACGAGTGTTGTGCAGGCTTACAACATATTTGTTATGAATTATTTACAGGCGTGCTGCCTTAATACTGTTGAAAAAGAACTTACTGTAATCTTCTTATTCTAATCTATTTATGAATCTTCATTGCTTATGATGTGCAATTAAGCTCAATTTGCTACAAAAACATGATATGCTTGCTTGAGAAAGGGAGAAAGAGAGTCGGCGAACAACGATTTTTTTTGTTTTGTTCAATGTGTAAGTGTGTAAGTGTGACTTGTGTTAGTGTGAGTAAATGTCGTTCTGTCGATAGATGGCGGTGTTCAGTTGACTTGAGATGTTTCATTGACATTCAATTCAATTCAATTCAAAATATTTCCACTTTAAGAACAATTTACAAACCAATAAGTAACAAATACATTTGAATAATAGTGGCGGGATCATGAAAAGTACTAATTGGCTTATTAAAATGACCCCTTAACAAGTTTACACATAACCTATTATACATTGTAAGAAAATATCAAAAATCATAACAGGAAAATAAAATAAAAAATTATAAGGAAGAAAAGATAGGAAACGTAAACAAAATATTCATCATTTATGAGTTCAGGAAGTGTTGTTTAACTAATCATGTGAACTGTTAAACAGTCTTACTCTTCTTGAAATTAGTTTGGGAGGTTATTCCAAATTAGTGGTTCTTTGTAAATAATTGAATTATGAGTTGTTGATATGCGGTATAAAGGGAGGTGTATATTTTGAGCATTCCTAGTATTGTAACTTGCGTTGCACTGAAAGATTCTAGGCCCAGCTTACCCTACACCAACGTTTTTCAACCCTTTTTCAGAAATAAAAAAGTTTTGCACCACCGTATCAAAGTATCAGTCTGAAACTCGTCAAGTGCCAGCCCACAATTTTTTGCAGGCGAGCCAATAAAATGATATCTTTAATATTAAAAAAAAAAAAAATTTTTTAATCAAGACACTAGACATGAAGCAATGTATGAGGGCACCCCGCCGCCAAATATTAATGAATACGAGGATATTCGGCCATCTCGATGCCCAAAATTCTCTCGTTAGAGAGTGAAACGAACGAGGGGTAAAAAAAAATGCAATTTTGATATAAATTATAAAAAAAAATATTCGGGCACCTCGCTACAAAATAGGATGATATTCGTGCATCTCATCTCCAAAATTTTGATTAATTAAAAAAAAAAATTCCAGGCACTTTGTACCTGAAAATCAAATCATCCAGTTTCTAAATAATGCGAGTGAGTGATAAAAAGAAATGCATTTTAATCTTTGAAATGCTATATCGTCATGAAATAACATACGCTATTGGTTTCTAAAATCGGCTGAGGTATGAAAATTTCCCCTCAACACCTGCTTTTTCGAAAATTTAAAATACAATGTTTTTACTTTACATGAGAGAAAAGATGGAGACATTGCAAACTTTTTAATTTTTCAATTTTTCAATTTATTTATGTTTCCCAAAAAACATTACAAATCAATTATAAACATTAACAACAATTTAGGAATACATATCGGAAACAGAGGGGTCCACTAAAAAGCAATGATTGTACAATATCATTGTGGACCCCTCCAGGCGAACAGGGGGGGGGGGGGGGTTCCACCCCAACCCCCCTGGATTACTCTTATTATATGTCTGTGACTGTGCAATTCTTTTATGTTTATACCATGTACCTTTATTGAAGATTGATAATAAAGTGATACAAAATACAAAATAAAAAAGTGAAAGGGGGGTTAAACCCCCCCCCCCCCCCACCCCACCCTCTGCGTACGCGCCTGAACCCCTCACATGATAATTAGGAATAACGAGTAATTAAATTAACGAGTTCGTAACTATAACAGGAACAACAAAATACGGGGAAAAGGGGGATGCCAACAGAGACGAGAACGGGACAAGACGGTAATTTACATGACAAAATAGGAGAACACGGTCACAACACAAGAAGTAGAAAATGCCAAAAAAGAAATGAGAGATCGGGGGTTCACAAAATAATACAAAAGGATGAGCTGCATGTGGGGTTGAGAAGAAGATGAGGAAAGAGAAACGCGCATTAGAAAGGAGATAAGCAGGCACAATATAAATGGAATTACATTTGGGGCATACGTCAGCTCCATCCTATATTGCATAGTCCTTGTGAAGCGTATTTAATTAAAATAATCTACTGAAACATCAAATTCCCTGAAGATTAAATGGATTTCATTGTAATCAGTCATCTAAAACCTATTATTAAATCTAATAGCCTAAAATGTGGCTGTATAAAGATCACCTACTCATGCGTAACAAAATTATTGCAAGGTTAAACAAAAGACGTAATGTGAAAGTTATGTAAAGTCAGTGTAATGAGGGTTAATCATTTTCAAAATTTGTATTGGCCTTTTGCACATGATTCATCACATAGAATGTTTTTGGATGTCGAAAGTCAATATTTTGTTCCGACTATAGTATACGCGAATGTTTCACCCAACATCGACCAACAGCGAGTATTTCCTTGATATCCTCAACCGTGGCCTTCGTATAGCTATAGGTATTGCATACCCAAACAATCTAAGATCGGGGTATAAACACTCGATCAGCGAGATGAAATCATCGTCAGAGATCGTCCAGTAATACCGGGTCATGGTTTGATCGCTAGAGCTATTCCAGGTGTGCTTTTGAGGATCTGATGCAGGAAAGACCAGCGAGGAGCCATTGGCAACAGACCCCAGGAAACGATGCACATCTTCGTGCAGAGTCTCGATCTTGCCAATGAAGTCGTACTCGACCAGACACGGGTGACATAACTCATACTGGTCATTCCAGTGTTCGTCTTCTACTCGCCTGGCCATGAAGTACCGGACGAATTCCTGGAACGAGTACGGAGTAGTTTTGTTTCTCTGGTTTAGATATCCAGGATTGGTCTTTTTGAGCCATCGTGTAATGAACTGGCTGTAGTAACCCTCGTCCGGATCCTCTGGATCCTTAAACTCGATCTTTTCACGATAGGCCGACAAGACACGAGAGAACGGGTTCCGGACAAACAAGAACTGCGTGTAGTCTTTGATCTTCCGATTGGCCTCGTCCTCTGGAAGTTGGCCAATCTTCTTGAAGACTTTATCGAACTCCGTGTGCACACTCCGTTTGACTTCTCCTCGCTTCCGTACAGGACTGATGGCGCCGTAGGACACCAGAAATAAATGTTTCCAGCTGGTACAGCTCACCTTCGGCACGTAGCAATAGAGAATCCTGTGTTTGTCGAAGACATAGGTGTGTTTGAGTGAGGTGAGCTCTTTTAAAGTCAGGTTATGATCTCTTGTTGGGTGTTCTTCAAACTCAAGATCCGCACATGCCTCAATAAGAGCCCTCTTGCGTCGTACCTGATGGTCTTTCATATCTGAAATGGGCTGTTTGGGAAAGAAATACAAAAGCATGGGATTAGATACAATGAAGTTGACTGTTTAGGTCGGATATTTTGGGGACAGGGAGGGGCATGATCAAGGGCCTGTAAATGAAACAAAGCAACAGTCTGATGATAAGGCATTATTTTGATTGGACGGTTTCCATATTTCATGAACAAACACCATGCTCACATTTCGGAGACTGAATTGGGATAGTTCAATCTTTACTATATTCAAACGGTTCAGAGTTTTATCTATAATTATTATGATTATAATGAAGTATTAACAGTAATCACAGTATCATTAAAAGACAAATATAATTTCATCTACACAAATCATCATTTAAGTTCACTGGTTAGAATATTCATTCTGGCATTGGATTTTTTATCTTCTAGTTTGTTGGTGTCGTATAAGAGTGGGAAAAAGTAGATACTTAAATATTTATTAGAGAGAGAAAGAGGGAGAGAGGGGGTGGAGGGGAGAGAGGGGTGGAGGGGAGGGAGGGGAAGAAGAGAGAGAGAGAGAGAGAGAGAAAGAGAAAGAGAAAGAGAAAGAGAGAGAGAGAAAGAGAAAGAGAGAGAGAGAGAGAGAGAGAGAGGAAGAGTGAAGGGGGGGGGGTCATACTTCCAGACCTTTGTGCAACCCATAATAATGTCGTTGATCAAAATGAACACAGTATTACATTCTAACCATGAACACTATTTTCTGCATAGCAGATAAAACATAATTTTTAGACATAAAACATAATTTTTAGACATAAAACTGTTTCAAAACATTTTGCTTGTATGTTTTGAAAACAGTTTTGTTTGATCTGCTATGCAGATCAGTGTAGAATCTGATACGAAGTGATTGATAGAAGTTTGAGGATATAGGCAGGTCTGGATATAGGTCTAACGTGTGACCTTTAACCCTGAAAACCGACCCTGATGAAGTTATATCCATAAGCTTTAACAAATTACAAGCTAGTCGTCTATGAATTATAACTCTGAACACACGTGTGAAAATGATCATTTTGCAAATGGCATGTAGAAGGCCTACTATTTTTAATATGAAAGTGGTATTACAGGCATATTATCGGTTAGTCACAAAAGTAAACGGGTCTTCGAACATTAGAGTACTACTTTTTTTAGTATTTAGATGTTGCTTCTGATATGTACAGAAACATGTTTGAATTCATAGAGGGGATCTCTTCGTATTCCGTCTTTCTTTTCACTGATTCTGATTTTTTTTACAGGTATGTAGGCTTACGTGATGTAAGAAATACCCCAAACCTCCATTAAAGATACTACGTCCCTTTGGCAGCGGCTGCAGCCAACATCAACACCTGTAGAACTTTGCAGGAGTTATGAATATGTCACGTATGTCTTTTCTGTGAAATTCAAACATTATCAGTGTCCTACTATTCAAATTATGCAAGGAAACCTGTTTACATTCTGGACTTCACCGTCAGACACTATTGAGTGACTGACTAACATCATTTTTTCTTTAGTAATAACATACATAAAATGAGCTGTAACAGGTACATGAGCATTTGTCTACATCAATAACCCACTACTTGTAATGGGCCAAATTAAAATGATTGAATATTTGTGCATTACAAAACGTACGACCATTCGGTAAAAGGGTCTGAAACTCAAGCTACTACCTAGGTGATTGCAATCACTTAAGTCGATTCGACAGCTAACGGTCGTTATTTTCCCACTAAAAGCAATTTTCACGCCCTTTCGTTTTGAGGGAAGTTCTAAATTAGTACTGTATTTCAAATGCCGTTGGAATTCAAACCTTTTCATTTGTTTGGCCTGCAAATGGGACATAGTACCTTGAATGTCTGGGATGAGAGACTATGATATTTTCACACCTGGCGAGAGCATTATCCTAGGGGTGCATGACGCGACGTGAGACGTGAAATCTTCGGTTTCCTATTCCATTCATGCCTACACCAGACTACTTTTTACCATGAAAAATCCGTATTGCATGCACTTCCACTTTCGATAGGCCTATCATTATGATCACCAAATTATACAGCATTACAGATAACAGAAGAACAGGTAGCTAGAACATACCAGCGGATAAAGGTAGGGGATTTCAAATTGGATAAATCGGTAATGTTTCCCATTTGTTCCTACACAAAAAAATGACTCAAATCTATTTTTTCTTCAAAATGTATAATTCAGTAGAGCTTTTGCTTTCCGAAGGATCTGTAATGATGTATCCATAATATTATGTTGAATAGTGCCCGAAGGTAGAAAGCGTGAGAAGAAAATCAGAAATTCGTGACATAATACACGACAAACGAGAGAGTATAGTCCATGGATACGTCACGAATAATTGACCAAGTGAGAGAGAAAGTGACCTCATTTCTCAAAAACGTATAACTTATATAAAACTGTCACCGTCCTGGTTCTCTTATTTTATTAATTTTGTTTTGTTTTCATAATAATAGGCCTGTAATGTCCATTTATATAGCGCAGCTACTACAGTCATGACTACTCTATACGGGACTCTATAATCAACCCCGGCTGTAGCCGATTTGATAAGGCGCTAAACGCGTTCAAGGAATTTCTTATTACCGGGAACCAATTTACTTCACCTGGGTGGAGAGTGGCAAATGACGAGAGATACATGAACGTCACAATCCACTGAACAAATCGCCATTACAAAGGTTGGATTGCCCTTTAAACACTTTGTCCAGTCGGAGCTCATTGCAGAATGCAGGTCTTTTTTCAGACAAAGTGTATTAAATTCCAAGAAATAAGGATAATGAACGATGCCACAAATTTATACGGGAGGTTAATGGGCACGTACCCCCTAACCGAAAATCAAAAATGACAACGGTAATACACAAACAGAGAAAAAAAAAAGAGAGAAGGGGTGAAAAGACAGGTGAAAAAATGATGACATGACCCTCACCCCTTCTCATGTAACTTGCCCTTTAATAAGTGTTAACCTATCTCTCCCTTTCTCCCTATGAGAGATTTCTTATGATGACAGAAAGGGATGCGGGGGGAGGGGGTGATAGAGACTATAGAGCGGGGGTGGGGGAGAGAGGAGAGAGAGGGGGAGAGACAGAGAGAGAGAGAGAGAGAGAGAGGGGAGAGAGGGAGAGAGAGAGACAGAGAGAGAGAGAGAGAGAGAGAGAGAGTGGGGGAGGAGTCTGATGGTGAAGCGTGGCGAAATTTTCAAAGTACTGTTGTAGGGGGAAGAGGAAAATTAGGGAATGGGGTTGGGTAAGCCCAGAAGATTGTATAAGGCTACATGGTATATATATCAAATCATTTTAAAGGTACTATGTCCCTTTTGCAGCCAACCTCAAATGCTGTAGAACTTTGCAGGAATTATGAATATGTCATGTATGTCCTATCTGTGAAATTTAAACGTTAGCAGTGTCCTCATATTCAAATTATGCAAGGAAAACCGTTTACTTGCTAGACTTCACTGTCAGACACTATTGAGTGACTGACTGACTTTTTTTCTTCTTTGGTAATAACATACATGAAAAGAGTTGTAAAGGGTACATGAGCATTTGTCTACATCAATAACCCACTTCTTGTGATGGCCAAGATTAAACTGATTGAATTTTTGCGCAGCATAAAACGTATGACCATTCGATACATTTGTCTGAAAATCAAGACTATTACTTTTGGGCTTTATAGCCCTAAAGTCGATTTGACAACTAATAGTCGTTATTTTCCCACTTGAAGACATTTTCAAGCCCCACCTTTTTTAGGGAAGCTCTGAATTAGTATTATCTTTTAAATGCAGTTGGAATTTAACCTTTTCATTTTTTGGCCTGCAAATGGGACACAGTCCCTTTAACACTGACGTGGATGATAACAGTTTGGTTCGGCATCCAATATTCAGGTCTTCACCAGGAGTACTTCTCTGGTCACCTAAGGACTAAGCTGCCACCAGACTCAACCCCTTCCTCTCTTACACCCCTGCAGTCATCAGAATGATCAGATTAGGGCACAGTTCAGGGTGACAACATCATCAACATGATTGCATGTGACTACCTGAGTAGTAGAACTAACCCGTGTAACCCCGTCGTGTCGCACTTATAAACCTGAATTCAGGGGCATCACTGGACATTTTAATCGGAGGTGGTGTCGGACCATATTGATTTGCCGGCACATCCACCAAAAACCTTTCCACCATGCAAACGTAAAATGTATCTTTACAATTTTGCCAACATGGTTTGAAATTAAAAAGAAAATACGGAAATTCTTTTGCGGAGAGGAAGTTTCACATACACCCCCCCCCCCCTGGCGACGCCCCTGTCTGGTTAGAATTGTAGTATGTGACTGCATATCGGGTCTTTCAGGACATGACCTTGACATAAACCAGGTGTCGATGTTACTTCCGTGTCTGTACTGGCGATTTACGGTACTTTTATAGCCGAGTGATAAAATAGTCCGATATTCTCTTACTTACAGACCAAAGATATGCTATATTATTCCTGTATTGACCAAAACTATTATATAATTGTACAGACAATGCTTAAGGAAATGCAATGGGGCCTTTTTGTTAAAACCTGACAGAGCTAATTTAAATCTTTCAACGCCTTTTTTCTTCTTCTTTTCTTCTTGTATGTACGGATATAGTTTGCAGATTTTTGTATCATTTTGATGTGACGTTTTATGGCAAATAAGGAAGAAATAAATAGAAATGGGGTAAATATACCCTTTCACCGTTTTCATTAAAAAATAAAGAAGGTTTAATTGTGTTCTAATCTTTCTTTATGGGATTAAATTAAAACAAATTATATTAGTTTTATACAGTTCAAATGATCGTTTAGGATATCGAAAGAGATATTTTTCTCTAAACAAATTTTGAGACGTTTCAAAATGCTTGGCCTGCATAGATAAAAAGATTCAAAGAACAGTTTGAATCATTTCCATCACTTTTAACCCAAATTTAGCTCATACATTGTTTCTTTTTATTTGCTCTTTTTTATTTGCCCAATATTTTTTTCCAAATGATTTTCGTCATAACCCGCTAAAATGTTAACGGTATACCTTTAAGAAATTCGCTGAGCTTACCTCAGTTGCTTCCACGTGGATTGAATGACCTTGTTGTAACCCCGTAATTCCGGGTCCTCTCATATCTTCGTCACCTGACATATGCTGCTGATTTGTGGTAGGGTTCATTGAATCTGAATAAAAGACAAAGAAACCAATTCATATACATTTTTCTTTTACATTAATTAAAGTAAAACTGCTTCTTTAAAGTTTTAAACATTTTTACAGATCAAGAACGCAGCTTTGAATATTAAGAGTTTGTTTTTTCTTCTAGTGAATTAAAGGCAGGCTTTACTACTTCAGCTAGAAGGAATTAGACCACCCAGCGAGCCAGCGAGGTCACTGTGACAGGTGGCTCTCTCATTAACTCAGCTCTCATTTAACATAAGAAAAAGAGGATCATGGGGGACCAACAGGCATCGATTGGGGAAGTTTTCTATATAGAGGGAGGCTGGGAGCAAGTAGCTACAAGTAGGACAGTGTGCCTTTAAACCTTTGTGATCTCAAAAATGATCAAATTCTGCATGAGATAAAACCACAGAGGATAAAAATATAGATATTTGGTACTCTCAAAAAAGGTGCGTTTCTCAGGTTACGTGTAGACTTATACATATTGACTTACAGGTGCATGGTATTTACTATAATGTGATAGCTTATTCTAATGGTAGAAAAAAACAAAAGAGTCAAAAACTCGACGATCCTTACAACATAAAATGAAGGCAAGAAGAATATAATCACGTAATCATGTAAGATAAAATAAATAAATGAACAATATATTGAATAATATTTTTTTGTTTGATAGTGTAACAAAAAATAAATAAAAGAGGGCAGAACAAAAACGGTGTACGTTCAAAACCAGAGGAGTGATACAACAATGTGAAGCCTATAACGGTATAAGTAAAGGGTTGGGAAGCAGGCAGGAAGGATGTGATCGCATGGCAGAAAGGAATAGATGGAGAGAGAAAACAATGGGTTAACGTATATAGATACACTCAATGCATATCGTATTTGTGTGGATACAGTTTTTATCCACATAATATATCATACACAGAGTGATTTGAAAACATTCTAGGTTATGTTATAATAAAGCGTATTATTGTCAAATATATATAGTATGCTCGACACATTTGCCAAAATAATTTTCATGAATATAGATGAACAGGCACTTAAAAACCACCAAAAAGTTGCATGGTGTGACTTTCAGGCGTATTTGGGCAGTTTGGTCAAATTAAAGTTTAAGCGTTTCCTGTAAAGCAGGGCTCCCACTTAGCCGAGTTGGAGCCTCGAGTTGTGGCGAGCTGGCGCGATCTTATGGCAAGCAGTTTTATCATTAAAACATATTTCTTGATATCAAGAATTCAGTTCTTGATATCACGAAATCGAATTCCTGATATCACGAAATCGAGTTCTTGATATCAAGAATTGCCACTGCTTTACATACAACATAAAATTATTTCTTGATAACAAGAATTGATTTCGTGATATCAGGAATTCGTGGGAGCCCTGCTTAAGAGTAAACGTTCTTCTATGTAATTTCGATATTTGGAAGCACCAAACAATCTAGAAGTGGTATGTGGCATTTTTTGTGAGATCTATGTTTGTCTGATTTTGAGTATATGATTTTGAAGTTTTAATTTATTTTACCACCCTAGTTGCTGGTCTCATTTTGATCTATAATATTCTTTAATTTAAAGAATATTATAGATCAAAATTTAAAGAATATTATAGATCAAAATGAGACCAGCAACTAGGGTGATAACATAAATTAAAACTTCAAAATCATATATTGAAACAAAAGCTTAATCCGTTTTAAAAACGGATTAAGCTTTTGTTTCAATATCTGTACAATTCTTTGGGACTGGAAATTCTTCTCTATTATATATCATTTTAAAACTGAGAATCTACTCTACATTAATCATACCTAAACTAACGAATAACTTCTGGCGATTTTGGGGTGCCGGGTCATAGTTATGGGTCATGTAAGAAAACGTCCCATCTGTCTTTCATTTTCTATTTCATCATATCATATTGAACCTTTCGAAAAGTGGATTAAAAAAAGCCCTTTCTATCATTGTTAATTCGTATGATTATTTCAACCGCCGCGAAAAATAAGAAAATTCAAAATAGGTGATTTTGTAAAATATACCGAAACGGGTGAGAACTGAGAAATTTAGACAATTTGGAGTTCAATCTAAGTATTGCAATACATATCATTATCATAAATATAATCATCATTATGAATACTAATAGTAGCCGTCAGAGATACATGTAGTACTAATTGAGGTTCCTGACATTTCTATGTTATTATAACTTTACAACTTTGTAACTTTAAGAGAGATCATTATGGTTTTGTGGTTTTGGTTCGATAATAAATGCGTAATGGCTGTTCCCACAGTCAAGTCTAAGTAATGACTATTAGTATTTAAAAAATAGACTAGTAATTATTAAAAACTTATGGTCAGAAAAGATCCATTGATCCACTGTCTAAAATCCTCTTTAAAGTTCAGTTCCCAATAGGCGAGTATGAGGGAAAGGGATTGAACTATTCCTGTATATCATTGAGGACTTTATATTCCTGTAAAAAAAAAAGTACAACTTGTGACCTATACTCAACCTGAGGTCAAATACCCATGTGCATTCTATTATCTCGCCTCCGTGTATTACCCTGTCAAAATCATAGCCTGGTGATTATAAACTCCACCTCCGTAATTTGCCCAAAAAGATTAAAGGCCTGCTCGATCTCAAGCAGTTAGTTCGTTTAATTAAAATGATGACGAAATTGACGATGATAATGATGACGATGGTAATGATTACGATGACGATGATGATGATGGTAAAGATGATGATGATGATGATATAAAGAAGATGATATATATGATGACGTCGATAATGATGACGTTGACAATGATAACGTTGATAATGATGACGATGATAATGATGACTTGTAAATACAAAAACAAATCATAAACCCTAATTTACCGGTCATTTATCATCCATGCAAGTATCACAGCTAAAAAGGAAAAAAATAACCAATCTGAGTGAGTGAGTGAGTGGTGCTTTGATTCTAATCGTTCGCACCCAGGTATTAATGATGTTAGAAAACCAATGCTTACCATTCGAGTTTATGAGGAGAAGAAAAACGTTGATACCAACAGTTGAGAAGGTTAACACCATCATTACGCCTCCTATATATTTCCACCTCGCCATCATCCGACTTCTACCAGCTATCTATCGTATACAAGCAGTCTGTATTTTGCTGTGCAACGAGTGTGAACTGCACTGAATCAGGAACTACTAAAGTGATCTCACTTGCTTCCCTCCCCTGTGCTTGGCACTCACCTTCCTGGTATGCAAAACGAGGAGCTAATCCTACCTCATTGTAATACAACCACTCCCGGCAACCACTGAACTGAAGATAAATGGACCCACTATCCTCTTTTCGAGGGAGGTGCTGTGCGCTGCCTCTGATCGGTTGTTGGCCGAACAGGTTTGGCTGCTAGATGTTTCTCCAGCTGAGTCCCCACGGCATGGAAGTGGATTGGGATATTCTGCTGTGGGGGCCCAGGCTTTTTCCCCCAACAAATAGTTAGAACAAATGTATGTATACTCGTGCTTTCATTTGTTATGTTATCCACACCAAAGTCTTTTCTTCCACATCCTTTTGCATTATGCATTTGTCGAGCGATGTATTTGGTTTAGGAAATGGTACAAAGAACCTCTTCAATGTACGGTCGTTCTGCATAACGTTAATCGCTATTGCACGTTCTGTATCTATCAACGCTATCCCATTATTCTTGCCTAAAAAAATCAGCGATTTTACAGATCAATGTATGAAGTAAAAGAATCATATCTCAAAGATATTCAATATTCAACTGCCTCCTTTTCCCTCTCTCTCTCTATCAAATAGCCACAGCAAATAAACAATAGCATGTAGGCACAGGGGACAATCAATATCAGAGAGCCCCTCGAACAAAGCAGGGAGTTCGATGCATTGAACACATCATTGTACGCACACAGAGTACGTAGCTATAGGCTGCTATGTAACATGGTAAACGCAAATTCTTTTTTTTGTCCGACCCTCCGATTACGTAATGCGATTAACGGATTAAGGGTCTGTGAATACATGCACTTTTACGAAACAGGAGCTTATAACTACGGAAGGGGTGACGAAGAAAAAGAAGGAAGAGAAAAGATCTAGAGAAAAAGGGTGATTAGGAGAAAGGAAATGTGACAAGAAGATGATACGACCGGCCTCTCTCCCACCCCCAGGGGCGGCGATCCCGGGGGGGTCGGGACACGACCCCCCTCCATTTTAAAGTGCAACAACAAAAACTGTATATAGCAAATACTGACTAAAGACATTCAACACACTTTTAGGCTCACTACTCAGGAGGGCCCAAGAGTGCAGCGTTTAGACTAAAAATGCAAAAATCTTCTCGCTCCCTCGCATATCCTTTAAAATGTACAAGTAAATATTGTAGAAAATCTATATTCCGTTGGTATCACGTAAGCTTTTTTTTGGGGGGGGGGGGGGGGGGCAAAAGTGCCATTTTGTATGTTACAGGTATTCCATAATTGGTTGGTTTGAATAGTTCACTACCACCAGGGGCGGATCCAGCTGGCAGCAGGGGAGGGGGCCCAATTCGTGAGAAAATATTTAGCGGCGAAACATCCGGAATTTCTTTTTGGCCCTCGAAAATTTGAAAAATCGCACCCCCCCCCCCTTGAGCGCCAAGGGAGGGGCCCATCTCTCTAAAAAAAAAGTAGAATTAACGTGTTTTTACACGTTTTTCCCCCAGGGGAGGGGCCAGGCCCCCGCCCCCGGATCCGCCACTGACTACCACATAGTCTATACATTTGCCATTTCAACTACCATAGCGATATCAATATACATGTACATGCCAGAGGCCTAGAGTGGGAAATAGAAATCCCATCCATGCCCAAGCTCCCTACTTGTTAAAATTTATCTACTAAATATGTACAACCTTTCGGACTGCACACTAATATTGCGTGTTTTCATACTATATAGTTTCGCTAAGGAACATAATTTTTTAATACAACAAAATTTAAAAAAAACTGTGAGGGGTGGTCACTTCTGTCACCATCGCTCCTCTCGTTGACTATGCTCCCTCGTCCCTCGCATTTCGTCCCCCGGTCATGAAAGAAATCGCTGCCCCTGCCCACCCCTATAATCTCTATGCCTCTCATTGCAGTGATGTCGGTGCTACTCGATGTCTGAATCTATCCTACGACAAAATAATTTATAAACATCAAATTATCACAAAGGAGGGGCAGAGGGAATTCCCCCCACTCATGACTGTATTTTTATAAACTTGTGTTTGCATGAACATTACCGTCGTGTGGTAAACGTTAACTGGGTGCGTACACGGCAGGGAAGGGGTGACCTGGAATACAGCCGCCCCCTCTTCCCACTTGCAGGTTGTCTAGAATAAGTATGCACACAATTTGAATATATCAATAAACCAGTCTATTTTTTTAAATACAAATTACACTATCTGCCCATGCGCAGATTGTATAAAAACTTGCTTTTAGTTTTAGTATCTATATTTTTATTTATTTATTTATTTCACATCTTTAAAAAGGGTAGCCCGATCAGCATGAGCTGGTTTTCATCAGGGCCCTTTACAACATACATGGTTCAATAATAATGTCAATCAAAACAACAATAAATGCACATTATAATATGAGAGATAATTCGGACATGCAATAAAAAGGCGATACAGTACATTTCATAGTATACGAAGTTCAAATTAAGATAAGGTATGCTATAGATATTTATAAAATTGTTGCGAATATTTCAATGTTAAAAAAAGTTTACCGTCACCATTAAGTAATTATAAAATGTATACAATTAAATACTTTCCCAGTTTATAATTAAAACTATTGTAAACAAACAACAACAAAAACCCACAATTAAAATATATATACATGTAGTTGACATTTGTACGCAATAACACATAGTATTAGGTTAAAGTTAAAACAAAGTATGGTATAAATATCAAAACAAATTATTGCAATATATTTCAATGATAAAAAAGTTTGCCGTCACCATTACGTTATACCATATATACTATTAATACTTTCCCATTTAATAATTTAAACTATTAATTATAAAAACAAATAGTTGACATATTATGCACATAAATATAATAACATGCATATGTTAGTATCATAATCAATTCATAACATGGTATTGCTTAAGTACATGAAATACAATTTCAAAGATTCCTTAATTGAGGTTTAAAAAAAAAAACATCAATGATAATGTTGTTTAGCATATTGATAAAATAAGTAAGCAAGATTCATTATTGGCGTGTGCTAATTAAAATAAAATGTTAAAGGAGATTGCAGCATTCATATTGCACGGCAATGAACAAGAGCGTTCCAGACTCAGTGTGATAAATTGCTTTTGAATACGTTCAGATTGGGGGAGAACCTGGTTTCTATGGGTAGATTATTCCAGAGTGTTATTGCAGAGTTTACAAAGGAGCGCTTAAAAAATTCTGTATTGCACCTATTGGATTCCAGCTTAAGTTGATGGGAATTACGTGTCATGCGTTGTGCTACATCATCATGTAAAATAAATTTGTTTGCCAATAAGGCAGGTGCAAGATGGTGAACACATTTAAATGCCATATTCCCCATTGCTCTTGAATACAATGCCTCAAGTGTTGACCAATTAAGTTGTAATAAAACCTCGTGTGAAGGAGTTGACCACGAACATCCAGATATAATATATGCTGCTCGTTTATGTAATTTATTTATAGTTTCATAATTATGCAGGGATCTATTTGTCCACACAGGGGACTAGAGGGCAGCTAGAGGGCAGCATTCAAGTAATATACGTGGTCAATCTTGACAATGGCTCTAACCAATTTTTGCAGTTTCATAGTTATTTAATGTATTACTGTAGTTTTCATCTTTATTGCATTTATCATTGCAGCAAATATATATATATATATATATATATATATATCATTACTGGTGAAGTGATGAATAGTTATTTTTGTTCGTATATTCCTTGATTTGTTTACTACCTGGATCGGTTCTAGAATAATCTTGTTGAGGAGCTTTTTTTGCGAGGGGGGGGGGGGGGGGTGGGAGGGGGTGGTATAGATCAAAGATTTCATTTTTATATTTATTTAGTTTTTATTGGGGGAGGCACGACATCACTCCCACCCCTTAACGCCACTAAAACAGCTGTTTACTACACATTTAATTGTTTGGTCTCTTGCCAGTCCGGTTTCGTCATCCTCATTTACATCTTCCACTCATCTGTATCCACCATTGAACACATGTAGGGCCTACTCCTCTCCTCAACGTTCAAACAGCTACAACTCTTTTTCTTTTCCTCGCCACATATTGCTCCTCATTTGTATCTCTGCTTTTGACTGTTTTTGACTCCTCTTTCTTTCCATCCCACCCTTCTCTCTCTCTCTCTCTCTCTATATATATATATTCCCTTTCTACCTCCTCCTTCCCTCTCTTCCTTGCCATTATCCTTCTTCTTCTTCCCACCCTCTCACCCTTACCCCTCCCCTTCTCTCTAGTTCTTCTTTTCTATTGCTTTTTAATGGCCTATTGCTACTGGAAGCTTTTCAGTCTTCTCTCTATCTTTACTGCATTAGATTCATATAACTATTTTTTACACACAGTACAAAATATAAGAAAGAAGCCATTGCTCATTTCATTTTCACAACAGGAAAGTTCCAAAATCTTAGATAGTGTATTTGAATGATGCACTGACCTCATTGAATAATCCTACATACATATTTACATAAATGTATCTGCAGAAGCTTGCAAGAGGTAATATCATTTGTTGAGAACCTAAAGGGCATATATATCTTTGTTGAGAGGATATGAATTACAACAGACAGTATTTCATTTTATCCTCTTTCTTTCTTGGCAGAATATATGTAATGAAATAGGACTGGAAAATGAATTGCAGTTAATTCAACTTAATGTGTAAGCCCATGCTTTGTGATACTGTGAAGTTTTTGCTAAACAGGGTTTAATTATATGTTATCTTCTAACATGAAAATTCATAAATAAGCTGTTTTTCCCCCAAAAATGTCAGAAAACAAGGAAAAAAATCAATGTTACTGGATATTATCAGGGGCAATTATCATGTCTGTTTTAAATACACATTTAAACATTGTAAGACATATATAATCATAAGGGTGAGCACAAATAGGACCTTCTGCATGGGAATAATTACATCATCAATAATCCTTGTTCCAAATTATCTCATGGTTATCAAAGACATCCAATTCTAGTCTTCGTCAATATATGTCCATGATATCATGATATCACTAACAATCTAGCTCCTTTTCACATCAGCTCCATCTGATATAGCAGTCTTTTCCTCTCCATGTGGTTCAATTTTTCTTTTCACAATGAAATCTCCATTCCACTGGAGCAAAGTTTCCTCATAGTCCCCATCAGGCATTCCATAGACTGGATTGACAGGCTTGATGCGGATAAGGTGGCGGACGCGGGTCAGGAGGGAATTCACCAAGGGGGTGTTCTTGTGGATGACAGGCTTACGAGTCTGTTAAAAGATTGGGGATAACATTCAAATTGTTAATACCATAAATCATATCAACCATTCCTAAGCAATATCTACTGTTATCAATACATTTTCATGTTTTTTTGTTTTTTCAATCTATGAGTGACAACTTTCAAATTTGTATCCATCAGTTACTTTGAGAAATTGAGTGGCAAAATATTTTGAGGGAAAACTTGCTGATAAAGGTTTAAAAATATGCTACAGATAATCCTGTGAGTAATATTTGTGATACAATTTCAAGATCTAAAGGAGAGAAAAATAATCAAAAAGTTTAGAAAAGACTGCAGGTAACAATCTTAACCGTAAAGTTTTGCAACCAACATCTCACTTTCTGGTACAAGCTAAAATGTCCTCTCTTCATTTGACTGGAATCATAATGCTTTTAACAAAAAGGGAAATACAAAGTACAGAGCAATATACCTCATTGTTAAAAGCTAATTATTGAATAACATTCATACTATTAAATCCAAATTATCATTTACAAGAAAATAATCTTCCCTGTTATTTGAGCCAGAAAACTTGAGAAAATCGTGATTCACGTTCCCCACTACTGAAAATGCTATTGGATTAAATAGTGTTCCATGTTGTATACTTACATCCTCTAATCTTAGTTGTTTCATGATATCTCTCTCCCAGTAAGGCCTTCGTTTAAGTGATCTTATCCTCCATACTGCATGTAATAGATGAGGTTCTTTCTCTCCCTCCTGTGAACTATTGTTGTCTAGTGATGATGGGTGACTGCTCAACGACCTCGTCACTGGAAAGGTCATCCGTAGACAGGTGCAATATGTCTGTAGCTAGAGAATGATACACAAAAAGAGTATTTAATGAAAACAATGCTTTACAAATTATAAAATGTTTTCGTATTTTTTTTAATCAATTATTTATTCTGTAAAATGGCACACACTTTTTCCTGGTCTGAGCTCAGAAGTTGAACATCTCTTGCTGATCTTAGCTTCCAGTAAAAGGAGCTGTCTGTAGATGGAAGATCTTGTTTAAAATCTCTCCCCCCCCCCTCCTTTTCCCCCTCCCCCTTCCCCTCTCCCTCTCCCCTCCTTCTCCCCTCCTTCTCCCCTCCGCTCCCCTGCCCTCCCCTGCCCTCCCCTCCCACTTCCCCTCCTGCTCTTGATTTAGTCAAACTATTGTTTTCAATTATGCAGCTTGTACAAGAAAAAGAGATAATGACCACCACTATGATACTTTAGATTACATAATCCATCATGAATATAATGACCGACAGAACAGTATCATGAGTCTGTACATCACTCATGGGACGTGACTATACCTTTTTTGGGCTGTGTCGCGAATTCACTGCTGCACTAGTTCAAAATTAATGATATACCATATTACAAATATATATCCCTAGACTCTATGCAATGTAATGGAGAAAAAAAGAAAGATTTTAAAAAAAGAATAGAAAAGAGTGAGATATGCTCAGCAATGTCAGCATACTTCCAGAAGTCATCAGTTGACATCACTGAACATAGGAAATTGTTTCTTAAAAGAAATGTTTTAGACATGCTTTATTTTAAGCTGTGACTTGACTTTAGAATACCGCACCAATAAGGTTATGTACATAAACTTAGAACACCTAGGGTTAGAGTCTGGTCAATTTTTGTGGTGGGGTATTCTAAAGTTGCTCCCTAAAATGAGTGTGACCCATAAACCTTTGTATTTATTTACCATGGCATCAACACTAAAATCAATACCAGCAGTTTTTGCCCCTCTCATCTACACTTTTCAAACGTTTTTAGTCAAACAGCAATGTATTTGACTGCCCACTTTCCACCGGCCATCAAGGTAGATGAAAATAATTATTGTCAATGGCAATGCATTCGACATTTTTGACAAAGACAATCAACAAAGTCAAAACAAAATAAACAAAACAAAATGAAGATTGAATTTGAAGTGCTGCTTTCAATCATATTTAGTTTCTTATTCAGTGATAACCAAACATTTTCCTTTTTTAAAGACACATTCCTAGCACTAATGTGACACCAATCCTTCTCCTGGAGAGTGTTTTCGTAATTTTTCACTATCAATTCGTTGAATATATTGATTTCTGGCAGCCAGCTCGCGCTCGCAAGCTCAAGAAACACTCTAGCCTAACGCACTCTACACAATAGTCAAGGTATGGGACCAGATTAAGCATGATAAGCGTGAAGATTGCGAGCGTGTATAAAGTTATGCTAACAAGTTACATACATGTAAAATTCTTGCATTTATCCTTTAATAAGTTTAATCACATTCCACAATACTCACCACCGTCTGAGACATTAAGCTCTTCAAACCCGGAAAATTCATTTTAGGCACCCAAAGATATCCTGTCTTTTTATAAAATAATTTTCAATCGCAAAATTTGTCTATGGAATGCTCTTTGTGCAAGTGTTAAATACGTAATAATACACATGTCATATTCATATAACTTATCTCCCTCTCGGAACTTTTCTCACCGACACATATTCTCTTGCCAATATTCCCTCTTCATCCATCTACTTCTCTGTCCTTTTCTAGTCATTTTCTTTTCTTCAAACAAAGTACGATAAGCCCCTTTTAGCTGCAGTTGTCCATCTCATTTTCCCCCACTGTATTGTAGTATTTTTTAAAATTCTGTCCTTGACCTTGTAATCTAGTCCTTTATATTCATCTTTTAATCTTAAATCTTCTTTAGGTCGGCCACTTATAAGGGTCGCTTCCTTTCTGGCTGCTACCTGCCAAGCTGTTTGTACATTTGTATATTGTTGTACCACTGTATGTATTCTATTCTTTTTATTATTGTAAACTCAACTCTCAACAACTCAAGGAAATCTCCATTTTGTTTCTCATCTCGATCTGCTTCTCTCCTTTCATACCAACACCATAAAGTAAATTCAACAATTTGTTTGGTAAGTGCTTCACCAACAGTTCGTTCCACTAGAAATACCGGTTATATCTGGATTTAGATCCAGATACAACTGACCTGCTTTTGCTTTCTACCCTCATAGGTCTACAGTAAACTGAATGTTAGACTTAACTACCTTTTTTTTTGCAATTCATCTTAAGGTCATGAAAGATGTTATCTTTGAATTCCATTTATACCTGTGTTATCTTAATAGACATTAATTGGCTGGGATTTAAGAAACAACTTGCATGAAATGAATAATACTAACTCAAAATTTATTTAGAATATATTTTGTTTATTTGTTACGCATTGAACAGAGAACTACTGCACATTAAATACATTGAAAATAGAACTTTTTTTACATTATAAATTGAATACAGTGAAGCAATGGAAGACAATATATGGCAGTTTAATGAGCTGAATATTGTAAGCACGTTCTATCAACTCGGTTTCAGCCATACTCGTCTAAAAATTACAATACTCCAAATAGGTTGTTATTGAAAGAGAATTATGTTGAAGTGCAGATGTTAAGTTATTTTTCTTAACTATGATAACTAAATAACCCTCTTTGCACTTTACATATTATTTTACAAGACAATAAATATTATCATGCTATTCAATGATATATACATGACTGTTCTTGTTTATGGATAATTCTTTATCATTATATAGAAACACAATCACATTATTCGTTTTGATCATATAAAAATACAAAGTGTCTTGCTCAATTACATGTTAAATATTGCTAATTAATCAATTCTGAGACATAAAACAGGAGAATTGATCAAAATTTCAAATGATTATACTTTAGTCATCAATAAAACACTGCCAATGGATATAGGCCTACAGTTTACTTTGTTCTTTCTCTGCCATGCTCCACTGCTGATAGTGTAACTTTAACTTTTTGTCAATAATTCTGAAAAAAATGTACATAATGAAACTTGTCTCTAGATAATAATATCAAATCTCTAAATATTTGGATGTCACTATGCCTTAGCCCAGGGCCTCAACAAGAGGATTGTTGACCCATAATGTCTACAGCGACTCTTGATTCCTGGGAGGACAAACGGAACAAAGCTATATGGAAGTCAACTGAATAGTCTCCTCTCTGAGAAATAACATTTAGAATAGCTTACCAATCTGGAAAAGAAAAATTCCAAACTACCTAAGAAAATCAACTTGAATTCCATTTTACTCTTCATTTTACAAGCATTGTCATGCATCAACATCTAGATTAATAAATGCATTGTATGTATTTAGTACTCAATGGCATTTTTATTTAAGTTTGCAAGCAGCCTTGAGTTACAGAACTGGCAAAATATAATTTAAATAAATACCTTATAATAATAGAATCAAAATAACATTTACATTAAATGTTAACAATATAAAGTAGAGTATGATAAACAAATTGATAGCTAATTACACAAAAAAACGGAAGGAAAGAAGAAAGAAACAAATAAAAATGTTTGGACATTAAATATGACAATACAGTGTTCCATACCTGTATTTTAATGTTGATAATTTTCAGCGATGATGAAATCAAGGCCAGCAATCCAGACACATTGGGCCAGTTAAAAACAGAAATTATTGACATGTGATTCTGTTTAAGGCCAAGCTTACAGCCATCAAAATAATGACATTGAGGCCAGAGTACATAACTACAACATTCCTTTCCAGTTCATGTAATCAACAAGTTTATGTAATTTTCTTATTTTTTGTACAATGTATAAACATCCACGCTGTTTCCGTGGGAAATTTTTACACTCTACATGATCAACAATTGCAGAATGACTTTTAGACAGTTTCACTGTGAGCCTGATAACTTATACTACCACAACTTTAAACATACTCTGAAATACGTCAAATTTTAGACATTACGTGTCAATGTCGAATACTATATTCATATCAAGGTGTAGTCAAACTCAGCCAACATAAAGAGGATCAGGCTTACTATGAATCATTGGGTCATCGCGTTGGGTCACTTGGTCCTGTTACAGCTGACCTTTTGTGAAAACATGCCCCTTTATTGACGAAATATGGGGGGTAGTGTTTATGAAATAAACCCATCTCATCTACGAATGGTCTTGTCCAATATACACGACACTTTGTGAAAACCATACGGCAAGTTTACAAAAGGTCTCATCATCTTCCACTTTTGTTCACGAAAGGTCGTATAACGCGACCATCCAAATTTTTCAAAGGATCAAGAGCCCATCATACTGCAGCTTTCAATACAAGAAATAAATATCCAATAATCATGATATAAAAGAATACACATATTTTGTGGTTCTCCACTACCAATTAATGCTCATTATGAAATAAATCATTTTCATGCCATAAAACAACATAATGAAAAAACACAAATTTTAACAATTTTGCAAGTGGTCTCGATTTACAAAATTCACCCCACAGAATGAGTTTGGGGAATATGCAATGGTATTCGACTATAAACATTATTGTTAACACTTTAGGCTGGGAAAGTTTCTGCACTTTATATAGCAAGCATAAAGGAAAAGACAATCTAGCACACATTAGTTAATAATTTACATCATCTCCATTTCTTTATGATCCCACATTGAAATGATTGTTAGAACGAAATCATAAATCACACACATGTATTAATTTTTTAAATGCAGCGGTGAATGTTTGGTTAACCTAATTGCAATATATAGATACAAACTGTACCACACACTTCTGGGTAAAAACATGTAACTTGGCCTTGGTTTAAGAATATTATCTTTTCATTGCACTCATATGATTTACTCAAATATATTTATATCTTTTGGATATTCAGCATTCAGAGATATATTATATAATATAGAAAAATGAAAGTTATAATTGCTTGGTCCTAGATCAAATGAGGAGCCAAACTTTCTTCAATACCCTTCCGAAAAGAAGTATCACTAACTTTGACCCCTAGGTCAGTTACAGCTGAGATGTCCATGGATGCATTGTGGGGGCGTGGCGTGCCAGCAGAAGGGGGATCCGGGTTTGCGATGAGATGATCCTGGGGAGATTGAAGACATCAGTGATAATAAGAGCCATCTGATATCGAGTGAGTTGCTCAGAGGTGTTCCAATGCAGGATACCAGAGACCCTTTCTCCCTGGGTGGAAAAGAATATTATAAACAATTCAAGGTTCAATTTATCCCATCACAAAAGAAAGTTCATACATAGATTTCCATCTTTCCTCCTGTGCAAAAGCTCAATAATTACCTTATTTTAGACAGTGGCTTACCCAAATAGGACTTTGGTAAAATCGTTGTATAATTATTGTCCATTGCACAAGTTAATTCCAATTATTTGTTCCAGAGGGGACCCTAAACTTACAAGTTCTGCTTTTACCAGGGTCTCCTAGTCTTTCTTTTGGTTCACTTTGTTTTTATCTTTACCATAATTTTGTTTGCATTGTAAATGTGTAATGATCTAATGCTATGCTCTATGTGACATTTGATAGAAAGACGAATAAATATCTTTTCTTATCTTATCTTAACCTCTGCCTTTACTGTTTCATATATTCTTCATTTTTGAGAAATTGTTGCATACAGCAGGACTTTGAATGGTCATGATTCAAAGCCAATTGCCAAGAAGATCCTCACTTCTAATCAATTTCTGGTTACATGTACATCATATGTCACATGTGGCAAATGTAGAATTATCCATCACCACTTTTGATCACCACATAATATAACATACTCAATGCAGCATGAATTTCAAACTGATGATGAGTCTGGTATTGAACCCTAAACCTACCTTACAGTGCCTCTGGGCCAGTTGGAGTAACACTGAGGCCACATCCCTGACATGAGTTGGTCTTCTCTGCTGGTAGTCACACAGATCCTGGACCTTACTAGTATCCTGGATCTGATGTAGGAGATAGGTCGCTGCACTCTCATTCAATCTCTCTATGCTTCCATAGAGGAGGGGTAGTCTTAAGATCACTGCTCCTATCATGAAGAAGAAAGTACTCATTAGATTCAAATTCCCATAAGCACTTCAAGATTATATACACTGTAATAATAATAATTGCTAGTTCTTATATAGCGCTTTTCAGGACCGAAAGCCCTCGCAAAGCTCTTTACAGATATTATTACCCCAGTCATCGGATTCAGGCTTACCCGCACACAAGGTATGCACATTACCACTCCCTGGGGAGCATTCCAGCCAGGCGTAATTTTTACAAGCGCACACTTGCTAATCTAAGCACATTAGCTTTCGCATCCTACCGGGTACCCATTTAACACCTGGGTGGAGGGTGGCAAATGTAGATCAATGTCTTGCCAAAGGACATTAGTGCTGTGCCCTGGAAGAGATAGTCAGTTGCATAATTAATTGGAAGTGAGGCGTGAGAGTCTACAATATTTGGTGTACAATTTTTAAGATACTTAGTGGGAATACTGTTACGGACCTATCAGCGTCTCAATTCAATGGCTCCAGAATGTCTGAATGAACCTTGCTAAAGTATGCACTTTGTTTGGACCAAGTGTTAAAGGGAGCGGTCCTTTGCTTATGCTGCCCCTCTACTTTAAAACACTGGCCCATCTCATGTGAAGGAAGCATTCACAACTTATAAGTTTAAAACTCTCCTCAAAACATACCTGTTTAAACAGCATTTTGACCAAGTTACAGTCAGGCATTTACAGCACCTATTTCTACCTTTTATATTTTCTTCCGAAGCACGTAAAGATGCTATGGCAGTGATATGCGATATAAAAACACTGAATTTGTATTATTATAATTAGCTTTAGGAAACAATAATCGATTTCGGACTGTGTAGTGAATATTCATTGAGAAGAGTAGAGATTATGAAGATGGCTTACTGGGATAGTGTTCAAGAGTTGCTATTTCTCCATCACGCTTGCTCTGGCCATACTTGTTGAGTGGATTGGGGGCATCTGAGGGTTTATATGGAGGTTTTGTCCCATCAAAGACATAGTTTGTACTGATGTATATCAGTAAGATGCCAAGTTTCTCTATTGAATACAGTAAGCAAATAAAATCATAAAAGAAGTACTAGCATTTATTTCCTTGTTAAAATATAATCTAATATTGTGCCCAACATGTTTTTATACCCTTCAATGATAGTTTGATACACATCAGTAGCATTTATACATCCCTGACCTCAAGAAAGTTCATCAAATGGTGTAATCATGAGTATGCCCCCTCATCGATGTACATTACAGGTCAGATGTGTCTTTCCACCACAATAAGTCGATACTCACCATGATATCCATGATGGCAATTGCTTAATTTGCTAAGCTGCTTTGAAATTGTTATAATCAAGTTCGCCTGGAATCATTTTATTACTAATTCACATGGCTACTCTTTAAAACATTTACAGGAATGAATGACCTCCAAATAAACTGTCATTTCTTGGTTCAGATTTTTTTTTTTCTTTCATCTTTACTTAGTATAGATTACTTCACAGTGTATCACAAACCACAAGTCTATGACCATTGTGCTTCTACAGCTCGAAGTTAACTGATAGGAAATTTGAAAAATAGAAGAAGTTTAATTTATTGAACTTGGTATATCTCACCACAAACTGAAGCAATCACAGCTGTGGCACCTACATTGAGTTTTTGTACCGTCTGTGGGTCTCTCTCCACAACATCAGTTCTCCTTTCCGCTGCAGCATGAATCACAACATCTGGCTACAAAATGAATTTAAATGAAGAGATAAGCCATTGGGAAACATGTGGTCCTGCAAATAGCCTGTGGGAATTAAATAATCTAGTACCAAGTTATCACTGGTAATCAGGGCTCAAATTAATTGTTTGTCCACGGGGGCTCTTCCCCCCCCCCCCCAAAAAAAAGAGCCCCCGTGAGCCTTCTCACGGGGGCTCTTTTATTACTGACGGGGGCTCTTTTTTTATACAAATATCCATTGAATTGGTACCTATGATACTCCTCAATTATTTGCTATTTCTTCATTATCATTTCAATCAGCATTTTCCCTCTTACAAATTTACAAGCTACATAGCTGTTACTGGCCTGTGTATATAATATATATGCATACAACACTGATCTTTATGATGTCTTTTACATGACATATCTTCTTCTCCCCTTGCAAACGAAAAAGAAAACAAGGTCATTAAAAGGGATTAAGCGACAAATAATGATTGTGATTCATATTGATGCGAATATTTGTTTGAATAAGCATTGCTATTCACCCGAATCTTCTTTGTAAAACAACTTTTACAAATCTCAGCCATGCTTACTGAGTTGAGACGTTCCATTCAATTTAAAATACCCATTACATAATACACTTCTCCTAATCTCAAAGTGATCTTACAGCACAGTGGCAGAATTGCATGGCTGAGATTTATAAAAGTCGTTTTTACAAAGAAGATTCTGGTGAAAAGCATTGCTTATTCAAAAAAAATCCTTGCATCAATTTGAATCACAATGATTATTTGTCGCATGGTCCTTTTATTAAATAACCTTGTTTTCTGTTTTTTTTTGCAGAGGGAGAAGAAGCTATGTCACGTTAAGAAATCATATGATACCAGAACAAATGTTGATTATCAGAATGTCATTTTGGAATTTGGAATACCTCTATACAAATACCACATTGTCTTTAGCCTGTATCAGTATAAGTATGATCCAATATAAAGCTATTATTCTTTATTTAATTCAGTATAATGCTTTTCCTCAAAAATAGTTTTGCTATTTTTTTAGGGTTGAGACGCTAAGAAATGGTTTCAAATGTATATTACACGAACCCTGAACCATTGCAAAATGATGGTGGTTCTCTCTCTCTCTCTCTCTCTCTTTATTTTAATCATGCATTATCAACTACATATAAAGCAGCAACCAAAAACTTAGGGTTATCTGAGATAGGTGAAAATAAGAGTTAAAAAGAAAGTCATGCTAAAACGGCGCTTCACTCTCCCCCGCCCCCTGAAAAAATAAAATAGATTAGTAGTCCTCCTCTCCAGCATCCCCCTCCCCCCGCTTTAATATCACATTTTCACTTGGCAGCCCAAGGGGGCCGGGGTGGGAGGAGGGGGTTAAACCCCCTAACCCCCCCCCCCCCCCCCCCCCCCCCCCCCCGTAGATCTGCCCATGTTGCCATATCATTCCACGACATTTTGGTCTTCCTTTTCTCCTCAAAAGGGACTTTTAGATTTGCGTGGAAGTGGACATGCACGTGTTACGTCCTTTTAATCACTGGCAGTGCCTTAAAAGGAGGTCACACGTTGCAGTCCACGTTCTCATCATGCAAATCTAAAAGTCCCTAATATTGATTTACTGGTTGAGGTTCATTATTTACTGACAACAAAAAACTTCTCCAGGCCATGACCATGATTTCTCTACTGGCCTGGAATACTCTTGAACAACGAAGAATCTTTGCCCAGTGTGGAATGTTCTTCAAAATCCACAAGAACATGGTGAACATCCCACTTACACCTGGTATTCACCCAGTCTTGCACCAGAGAGAGCTACGTGGACACACCACACACCCATTTATTTTTCACCAGCTTCCCTGCAGAGTGGACTGCTATAAGTACAGTTTTTTCCCCCGAGTTATTCCCATATGGAACAGACTCCCAGCAGTAGCTGTAACATCTAGCTCGATTGCTGGTTTTCAGACCTCCGCAGTCCCGTCCATCATAGCCATGATGGGCATGCCCACCTGGGCCGTGTAGGGAGGGAAGCCATGAAGCCGACATTAATGTTCTCACCAGATGCACCCTACTTCTTCGTACTCTCCAGTTTACATGTCTTCTTCTGCACAATGTCTGGCTTCTTTTACTTGCACACATCACGCACTCACACACTACCACTATTACTCCACCCTGGACAGCTGTCAACGTAGCTTTTTGGGTGCAACAAATTCAAGATTCAAGATTCTGCCCTTGCGCGATCGCCTCCATCTCCAGCAGACATGGCGCGGCAGCGTGCACACGCACCGCAGTAGGCCTATAACCACTGCACTGCGAGCTGAATCGGTAATAATAGGCCTACTCATAAAACGAGATATCTTGCACGCTAATCTTAGTTCCATTTCATTGGTTTAAGGTTTGAAAATTGAAACTCAATATGGTGTTAAAGTTATAACAGAAAAGATAATCTTTATTTTATAATTCTACCGGCGCGATTTTTTATTTTGCAATCGCCCCCGTGAGCAACCTGACGGGGGCGATTATGTAGCTCACGGGGGCGAATCGCCCACCGCCCCCATGTATTTTGAGCGCTGCTGGTAATATACACTCACAAGATATAATCATACTAGCAGGACCCGCGGAAATCCGCGGGATTCTAGAGGGGGCGGGGGTGTAAATAGATATATAGAGTTTTTAAGAACTTTATTTGCCATTCAGGCCATTAAAAAAATATACATGTTTAGCGTCCCCGCCCGCTTCCTTTTTGAGGGCCACCTCCTTTTTTTTTTTTTAAACAGCTTCCCCGCCCGCTTCCTTTTTGGGGGCCGCCTCCTATTTTTTTTTTTTTGAAATTTTGTTGAATTTTTTTTTTTTTTTTTTTTTTTTTTGACAGAAAAAAACAGCGTCCCCACCCGCTTCCTCTCCTATTTTTTTTTTTTTTTTTGAATTTTTTTTTTTGATTTTTTTTTCTTTTTTTTTTTTTTTTTTTTTTTAAAGAAAAAAAACATGAAAAGCACTGCTAAAATGTATTTCTGATGTTAAAAAAGAAAAAAAAAAAATTGTCGGCCGCCATCTTGAAAAATAGCCTGAATGTCAGGGAAAATGTACTGAGCAGCCATTTTGAAAGAAAAAAAAAAAAAAAAAAAAAAAAAGGGCCTCCTCCTTCCCATTTTTCGAAAAAACAGGACGCTAAACATGTTTTTTTTTAAATTTGGCCTTATATAAAAAAAAATTAAAAAAGATCCAACTGTACCGGTAGTTATTCTTTAAGCCACTGGAACTGCGTAGAGTTCCGTAGTGTGGCGTACCGACTACGCAGAAATTAGGCTGCGTATTAATGGGAAAATAGTCCCTGCGTAGGTTATGCGTAGGCTGGCATACAGGTTTGCTTATATGGTTGCTTACTGTGTGGAAAGCTTTTACTGCTTTGACGATCTGGCGTAGGGTAGCATAGTGTTGCGTAAAAAGGCGTACTTTCTGCGTCAAGTTTCTACGCTGAAAGTACGCGAAAAAAATTAAACATGTTGACTTGTTTTCGTTCATCTTGCGTACCCCTTTCTGTCCCTCAGCATATAGTAACGTAGGCCAGCGTAGTTGGTAGCAACACTACGCAACTCTACGTATTGACCCCACGCCAATTAGTGACCCGCAAGTGTCACAAATAAAGTATTAAAAATATGCTCATCTGACCCTAATTAAACACCTAAAACCCCCAAGCTTTCGGGGGTTTATGGCCCCTTGAAACAAATATACACTCAACTCAGGGTTTCAGGTTTCCTTCTTCATAATTGCCTATTTAAAAAAAAAACATTTTTCTAGTTCAAAAAATAAGTTTTCATGCATTGATTTGATGCAAGAACTGTAACATAATAGACCCTAGATTGTGATTATTTCTGACCATAAATTTCGATAATTATTTTTCAAAGCAAAATTTTCACAAGAAAATCAGACAGTCGTTTAAAAACGTAGACATTAGTAATACTTTTACTAATTCTAAGCTCAGGTTTCGTAAATCTATTCACGAAACTATATTGAAATCGCGGCAATAATGATGCAAACCAACAGATAACAATTTCAAAGTGTCAAATCTCTTCGACTCGAGCTCAGCTTAGCTGTACTCACACACACACACACAGTGTAACTCCAGAAAGCTCGAACACCGGCGCCGCAGGCCTCGGACGCCTTCGGTGCGCGGAGCCGGTGTTGGAGCTTGCTGGAGTTAAATTGCAGCTCACACACACTGCACAGCAGCACTGCACTGACTGAAGGCAGCTTGCGACTGAATTGTCAGTCCAATGGTTTTCTTGTGAAAACTTTCCTTTAGAAAATGATAATCAAAATTTAGTAGCATGGCCGTAATAATCACAAAATAAGCTTTCATTTCATACCTCCATTCACGACACCTATATAAAAATCGCGGCAATAATGATGGAAATAGGTCCCTAAGTTTGGACGTGGACGGGAAGCTTCGTGTGTATCTCTGTGGCTCGTGCAGCTACTATACAATGGATATCCTATAGAAAGATGCTTTACTCGGGTAAGCCCGACCCTGTGCGTCGTGCATTTAATACGCAACTTAATGTGAGTGGACAGTCATCGGTCGTGTGTCTACGGATGTCATGTTGAATATCCATGAGGTAGCTCTGTCGTCACGCATATCCTGCATTATGCATGTCGCGTCTGTTTTCGCCCTGGACGTCGACACGGAGGAGGACCTCGGGCGGAGTATAGCCAATTCGCTAGAGTAGACTCTCCCGCGGACGACGGCACCGGTCGCCGGTACCCCGAGGGCAGGGTTCAGGAGGAGATAGCCGCACCAACTTGGGTCGGCGATCTCATTAAAAAACAATAGAATACAAAGGTTGGCGGAGACGTCGCGCCCCCCGCGGAGCCTTAGCGTATTACTATTATAGATTCCAAAAGCATATGTACCACTAACCCCTGCACTTCATGAATTATCCCCAGACAACCACTTCAGGACAACTTTCATCAGGGAACTATCCATTCCTTTTAAAACTTCTCCATATGACAATTACACCCTAACTGCCCTTTGTAGCTATTTCAGAGAATCATCATGTATATAAAAACAAGTGCAAGTCATTCAGATTTATTCTGAGTAAACTACAGCCAAACCTGTCTTAGCAGCCGTCTCTCTATCCAGCCGTCTCTCTATCCAGACCACCTGTCTATAGTGGCCATGAAGTTTGTCTCCCTCTAGGAAGAAGTGTATGTTGTAGAACCAGTCTACATGCAGTGGCCACATTCTCTGATTCCCTTTGGTGGCCTTGACTATAGTTCTGTGTGCCATTGTTTTTCCACATGTTTTCAGCTAACTTTACTAACAATTATATGCGACCTTTTCAAAGTCTCGATCATCACCTGATATTCTTTGATGACATCCTGCAAGGGTTCGGTGTCTGTCAAGTCAACTTTTTTGAGATTATCCTTTGCTCTGGTGTAAGCCAGTCCAAGAACATCCCATCCAGAGGCTTGGAAAGTTTTCAATACTTCCGGCCAAGGAGTCCAGATGCACCGGTGATTAGAACCTTCTTCATTGCATCTCACTCTCAGTTCTAATGTAAATCATGTAAATTCTGGAAAAGGGGACAAAATCATACAAAAAAGATGGACAATCAATAAAACCATCTTAGAACCATTTAATAAACAGCCTGTTAAATATCTGTTAAATGATTTTAATCACTATATTTTGCACCAGGGGAGGAGGGGAAGGAGGGTGAGGAGGGGAAGGAGGGTGAGGAGGGCAAGGAGGGAGGAGGGGGAGGGGAGGAGGGGGGAGGAGGGGGAGGGGAGGAGGAGGAGGAGGGGGGAGGAGGGGGAGGAGGGGGAGGAGGCCGGAGGGGAGGAGGGGAGGAGGGAGGAGGGGGAGGAGAGGGAGGAGAGGGAGGAGGGGGAGGAGGGGGAGGGCATGGGGGAGGAGGGGGAGGGCAAGGGGGAGGGGGAGGAGGGGACGATGGGGAGGAGGGGAGGAGGGAAGGAGGTGGAGGAGGAGGTCGGAGGGGAGGAGGGGAGGAGGGGGAGGAGGGGGAGGAGGGGGGAGGGGGAGGAGGGGGAGGAGGTGAGGAGGGAGGAGGGGGAGGAGGGGGAGGAGGGGGAGGAGGGGAGGGCAAGGGGAGGAGGGGGAGGGCAAGGGGGAGGGCAAGGGGGAGGGCAAGGGGGAGGAGAGGGAGCATATGGAAAACTTTGGGGCGAATTCGTTCATAAAATGGATTGCTCACCGGCTCGGTCAACTCTGCACAGAGCTTCGCACCAAGTCCCGCAGTGTGCACTGGCGCGTAACACAGATCACTGGGTGCGTCCATTATGACAAAATAGGGAGAATGGGTCTTGTTCATAACATGAACATAAAACAAGGACGATTTCATTTGCATGTTTATGTCTTTTAATGAAACTCTAAGACGACAAAAAAAAAATAACAAGACTTTAAAACTGTTGAAGATTGAATTCATATCGATAATTCAATATCAAGGAGTTCACTAATTATATATCTAACCCCACAATCAAATGGAACATTCCTCTCTCAGGGTCTGAGGTTTATGACGAACAATTTTACAAAATCCTTTGTGTTTCTTCATGGTCACTGGCAAATTACACAACAAATCCATGATGTATCACCATTTAATTATCATTACTACAGTCTACATGTCTTCTTCTTTCTATATTTAAAGTTGATACTCTAAGCAAATAAATGTCCCTTAATTTGTTACCTACGGCAAGTATATGTTATTTTTAAGTTTTTCAACTACTTAGTATATCACAAAAAAATTCTGTCTACTCGAAATCCTCAATTGAAATGTCTAAAATATCCGCCTCTCTTTGCATAGAAAATCAGTCACGACGCTGGTCTACTATTTATGACCTCACGTCCGGGAGAGAGTATATTCACCTACCCGGATGTTCCATAGCAAACATGTGCAGAGTGATACGATTTTCTGCATATTTTTGTTTCAAAGGTTGAAAAGTCTAATAAATCATAATTCTATGTACAATTCTTTACCTTCCCCTAGTACTTCATAGTATTAATATCAATTCCCCTTTTAAAAATTATGACATATACATGCCAACGATGTGCTATTAGTCAATATTTTCACCATGTAATTTTTGTTTTGGTGTTGAAATCGGCCCAGGCACGGAGTGAACAGTAGCTGTCTACCCATGCACAGTTCATTACCATACACTGCAGCGATCTCCCGATGGTTTCTTCTTCCTTTTTCCCATGTCTTTCGCCTTCCTTGGCCCTGAACATCCTTCATCTACCAATTCTGACACCGGTAGTCAGGAGCAAGTCTTTGTTAGTTGTTTTTCTTAGCTGGCAACGTCACTTTCATTCTCTTGCAATTGCCGATAAACATATAACTAGCGCACGTACGTTCCATCACAAGCAAGCAGCGCCTAGAGCAGCGGCTTGGTGTTACCTCCCGATTCTGCTCGCTCCACGAACGTTCATGCAAGAGCCGCATCACTCGCCAAAATATTATAGAGGAAGCGCGCTTGCATGATCTCGTTCAAGTTTGATATTTTACAACATAAAATGTTTAACTGGTACTGTATCCTTTTTTGAGGCAGTCACACACATCTATGATAAGTACTATCATAGTTCTAGACCTAATCGTTTTACAAAACTGCTCATGTACATCTGATGACAATAATTTATAATGCATCCGCCTATTCATAAGTGCACGATTTAACTTTAATTCCTAAGCAGTAAACTCGTCTTAAATCTCTACCAAATAGGTGAATATGAGGATATAAAAAGAAATCAGTGACTGGAAAATGTTGCTTCGTTATTCTTCATTCAAATGAAAACAGAAAATCCATCAAATATACTCCTTAACAACAACAAATCTAAGCTCTGACAGGATAGCATTTACGTAGGGATATCACTGCCATTCACTCTCACTGAGCCCATGACTCCCGTTCGTGACGTCACGGATAGAGGCCCGACTCTACGTGCACTTCCGGGTTTCAGACTTAGATATTTTGGTAGAGTTTACTCGAATAAATTCATTATTCTAAACTTGTTTTGTCGGGTGGACACCATTTGGTGTTATTATGGGGTTAAAAGCTTTCTATTTATGTAATTATCTCAGTATTTGGGATTGTCTTAGAGTATCAGCTTTAAGGTTAAAACTCACATATTGAAAGAAATAACTACACAAAATGGACAAGTTTGAAGAACATTCCGAGAGGAGATGTGCTGTTTCAAATCACATGCAACGCAAAAGTTCGCACGCTAATGTGTACGTCTATGGAACTCGTGTAGTGTGGCATTATGTCATGCTCTTGCGCAAAAAGGAGCATACATGAGAGACAGCAAATCATTGGATGCAAAAGTGCAACCTTTTCCTCTTATCCAATCAAAATGAATGATATATTACTGGAATCTTTGAAACCTCTGCTTCAATTTGATATGCGAGATGGTGCAATTCGCCGATCGAATCAGTTATACAGCCAAGATAAGTGTGGAGAGTTGACGGATTTTGGGCGAAAATCCGTTGACCTCCATAGAGAAAGTGTCGTGAAAGGTTTTTTTTGAACATTTTAAAGCAAAAAGTGCAACCTTTCCCCGCGAATGAAATTATTTCAAATTTATATCATCTTAAAGAGAAAACATTGAACTTTAAAATTCAGGCCGAGACGGTATTAAAAGTGGGTTCAGTTAGGCTGTTGCTGTGATTTAGCGTAGGTAATGCATGAAATGGTAAGGAATTTCACGTGTTGTAGCTCACGGTGCGACGCGTGCGGAGCAGATGAACGAAAGTTTTTCATATGGCAAGGGATAGGAGGGGAGGGCAAGGGGAGGGCAAGGGGAGGGCAAGGGGAGGGCAAGGGGGAGGAAGGGGAGGGCAAGGGGAGGGGGAGGATGGGAGGGGGAGGAGGGGACGATGGGGAGGGGGGGGAGGGAGAGGAGGGGACGATGGGGAGGGGGAGGAGGGGAGGAGGGAAGGAGGGAAGGAGGCGGAGGAGGAGGAGATGGAGGAGGGGGAAAAGGAGGGGAGGAGGAGGGGGAGGAGGAGGGGGAGGAGGAGGGGGAGGAGGAGGTGGAGGAGGGGGAGGGTGAGGGGGGAAGGAGAAGGAGAAGCTATGTCCGCGTCCGCGTCCGTTGCCAGTCAGCCAGCCAGCCAGCTCAAGCCAGGCTAAGCTAACTGCATGCTAAGGATGCCCGATGGATATGGGCGAGGTTTGCAAGACGTCACACTGCACTGCACTAATTTATCATATTTTCGGCTTTCAAAAATTAAATACCTCCACATATCCAACGTCAAAGAGCAGTCACCAGGCACCGCCTAACTGAAGTTCTGTCGAGTTTTGTTGGTTGGCGGCTCCAAAACCAAAACAGATGACACCCCGGCCGTGTGAGCTAGCTAGATGTCGCATGCGCGCAGGTCTGGTTTTGTTGTTCTGAGAATTAGATTCCAACAAGATTGCGTAATCGTGACACCGTTCGTAGAGGGGTAGGCAATCTTTTGGAACCTGTAGAGGTTTGCGCGTTGCGCACGTCACTACGTAAAGGAAATGTTGACGCCCCCTAATGAATATGCATTATGCTTGTGCCGACACGGCGTGTGTACTGTCCGTTCACGCTGTGCATGCATATCAGTTCTATCTAGGCTATGACAGCACATCTGCACTATATACTGATTCAAGAAAGGGAATATATGTATTTCACTACACTTGTATTGTTTTGAATACATTACTTGCATCTATACTTGCATCAATTAAGTTAGTGCATATGCATCTAACCTGTTCCAAACTGCATTTTGCGTGTCCCAAATTTATATCTTTTTCATAGGTGCATTGTTTGCATCAATCAAGTTATTGCATTGTACATGTTCCAAGCTGCCTTCTACGTGTTTCAAAATGTCTATCTTTCGGTAATTGTATTGTTTTGACTACACACTCCCATTATTCTAATTATTGCATTGTATATGTTCCAAGCTGCATTCTACGTGTACCAAAATTTCTATCTTTTGGTATTTGTGTTGTTTTGCCTACACACTCCCATCATCCAAATTATTGCATTGTACATGTTCCAAGCTGCATTCTACGTGTTCCAAATTTTCTATCTTTCGGTAATTGTATTGTTTTGACTACACACTCCCATTATTTAAGTTATTGCATTGTATATGTTCCAAGCTGCATTCTACGTGTTCCAAAATGTATATCTTTTGGTAATTGTGTTGTTTTGCCTACACACTCCCATCATCCAAATTATTGCATTGTACATGTTCCAAGCTGCATTCTACGTGTTCCAAAATGTCTATCTTTTGGTAATTGTGTTGTTTTGCCTACACACTCCCATCAATCAAGTTATTGCATTGTACATGTTCCAAGCTGCATTCTACGTGTTCCAAATATTCTATCTTTCGGTAATTGTATTGTTTTGACTACACAGTCCCATTATTTAAGTTATTGCATTGTACATGTTCCAAGCTGCATTCTACGTGTTCCAAAATTTCTATCTTTAGGGGATAATATTGTTATGCCTACACACTCCCATCATTCAAATTATTGCATTGTACATGTTCCAAGCTGCATTCTACGTGTTCCAAACTGTCTATCTTTAGGGGATAATATTGTTATGCCTACACACTCCCATCATTCAAATTATTGCATTGTACATGTTCCAAGCTGCATTCTACGTGTTCCAAAATGTATATCTTTCGGTAATTGTATTGTTTTGACTACACACTCCCATCATCCAAATTATTGCATTGTTCATGTTCCAAGCTGCATTCTAGGTGTTCCAAAATTTCTATCTTTGGGTAATTGTATTGTTTTGCCTACACACTCCCATCATTCAAATTATTGCATTGTATATGTTCCAAGCTGCATTCTACGTGTTCCAAAATTTCTATCTTTAGGGGATAATATTGTTTTGATTACACACTACCATCATTCAAATTATTGCATTGTACATGTTCCAAGCTGCATTCTACATGTTCCAAAATTTCTATCTTTGGGTTATTGTATTGTTTTGTCTACACATCACTCAGGTGCGGATCCAGGATTTTCCAGTAGGGGGGGGGGGCGGCGGAAATTTAAAAATTGCGCAGACCGTTTTTGTCCAACTCAATATACCAATACTGACAAGGTCATAATAGAAGCCCCATACCGGTACATCGGGGGGGGGGGGGGGCTATAGCCCTTTGCCCGAAAAAGTAATTTTCTGGTTTCACAATTCGGCTAGTGAGCGAAGCGAGCGAGCATAATATGTATTTTGTGAAAGTGTTATTTGTCACCAAAATAAACGAGAAAAGATTTAAAAAAAAAAAAAAAATTAATATTCGGGCAGAAAGAAAACGATTCTTTGTACCATTCTCGTCTCTTAATCCTTGTTTGAATTTAGCTTTCCCCCTTCAGCACGAGGCGTGGAAGCTTTTACGTTTTATTAAATTATTAGAGAAAGAAGATGATTCGTTGTTCCATTCTCGACTCTTAATCCTTGTTTGAATTCAGTTTTCTTTAAATTATTAGAGAAAGAAGACGATACTTTGTTCCATTCTCGTCTCTTAATCCTTGTTTGAATTCAGCTTTCCTCCTTCAGCACGAGGCGTGGAAGCTTTGACGTTTATTAAATTATTAGAGAAAGAAGACGATTCGTTGTTCCGTTCTCGACTTGTCAGAATTTCCAAAAATGTTGCTTTGTCTGCTCCTTTTTCGTCCTATGTCCTCTTACTGCCCCTACCGCCCCTAGCTACGCGCCTGCTTTAAAGGGAAAATGAAACAATCATGATTGTGATGGCACATAATTAGGTTAGTAGAAATGAAAGAAAAAACAGATCTATTACACCAACCATGGATAAATCACGGCCCGGGAGCGTCATATCATAGTTTTGTGTTATCGGGCGAGGGCCGGGGTGTACGTAGCGACCAAGCGAGATTTTGCAATGTTGAATGCTGAAATCATGTGTTCTAGAAAATCCCTAAGCTCAATATGTACGTTCTTTCCGCTAGATTTCTTTCTAGCTATATTTCTAAATTTCCTGGGGGACGTGTCCCCTATCGGATCTAGGATTGCCGCCCCTGTCCATGATTACTACCAACATGAGTTCAAATACAAACACAAGCGAGTTGGTTGTGAGCTGAATCCAAATGAAGGGCAAAATAAGAGTTGTGAAGCGCCCTACCGTTTATTTAAAATCTGACTGTTGAGTATTATAGCTTCTATTTAAAAGGGATCCAACATATTGTGCCCTTTTCAAATTTCTCACTAAAGAGTGATGACCTTTGTAGCGCAGGGGCTGTTTTTAACGTTTAACTTTGAATACGCGGCTCGAGATTTTATGCGGCCGGTGTGGCCTGGCCCCCTCTATTCAATAACGTTTGCCAAGCCTTCAGGAATGACATCCAAATCTCCGGATTACAGTTTTCCCTTATTCGTCGTTACTGTCACTTAGCGCCATTTCCTTTTCCTTCCCCCTTTCTCACCCGACTTTTCTCTTCCCCACCCACTCAGTGTTATCTAGGGTACGCGCAGGGGCGTCGCTAGACCTTTTTCTCTAATAATTTAATGAAAACTAAATTCAAACAAGGATTAAGAGTCGAGAATGGAACAACGAATCATCTTCTTTCTCTAATAATTTAATAAAACGTAAAAGCTTCCACGCCTCGTGCTGAAGGGGGAAAGCTAAATTCAAACAAGGATTAAGAGACGAGAATGGTACAAAGAATCGTTTTCTTTCTCTAATAGTTTAAAGAAAACTTAATTCAAACAAGGATTAAGAATCGAGAATGGAACACCGAATCATCTTCTTTCTCTCATAATTTAATGATGCGTCAAAGCTTATGCGCTTCGCCAGTAATGGGGGGGGGGGGGGAAACAGCGAGCTGCCCGAATATGAATTTTTTCTATCTTTTCTCATTTATTTTGGTGACAAATAACACTTTCACAAAATACATATTATGCTAAAATTTTTGCTCGCTCGCTTCGCTCACTAGCCGAATTGTGAAACCAGAAAATTACTTTTTCGGGCAAGGGGCTATAGCCCCCCCCCCCCCCCCGATGTACCGGTATGGTGCTTCTATTATGACCTTGTCAGTATTGGTATATTGAGTTGGACAAAAACGGTCTGCGCAATTTTTAAATTCCGCCCCCCCCCCCCTCCCCAGCTATTGGAAAATCCTGGATCCGCGCCTGAGTGATGTGTAGACAAAACAATACAATTACCCAAAAATAGAAATTTTGGAACACGTAGAATGCAGCTGGGAACATGTACAATGCAATAATTTGGATGATGGGAGTGTGTAGGCATAACAATATTATCCCCTAAAGATAGAAATTTTGGAACACGTAGAATGCAGCTTGGAACATGTACAATGCAATAATTTGGATGATGGGAGTGTGTAGGCAAAACAATATTATCCCCTAAAGATATACATTTTGGAACACGTAGAATGCAGCTTGAAACAAGTACAATGCAATAATTTGAATGATGGGAGTGTGTAGGCAAAACAATACAATTACCAAATGATAGAAATTTTGGAACACGTAGAATGCAGATTGGAACATGTACAATGCAATAATTTGGATGATGGGAGTGTGTAGGCAAAACAACACAATTACCAAAAGATATACAATTTGGAACACGTAGAATGCAGCTTGGAACATGTACAATGCAATAACTGGGAGTGTGTAGGCAAAACAACACAATTACCAAAAGATAGAAAATTTGGAACACGTAGAATGCAGCTTGGAACATGTACAATGCAATAATTTGGATGATGGGAGTGTGTAGGCAAAACAATACAATTACCCAAAGATATATTTGGAACACGTAGAATGCAGCTTGGAACATGAACAATGTAATAATTTGAATGATGGGAGTGTGTAGGCAAAACAATACAATTACTCAAAGATAGAAATTTTGGAACACCTAGAATGCAACTTGGAACATGTACAATGCAATAATTTGAATGATGGGAGTGTGTAGTTAAAACAATACAATTACCCAAAGATAGAAATTTTGGAACACGTAGAATGCAGCTTGGAACATGTACAATGCAATAATTTGAATGATGGGAGTGTGTAGGCAAAACAATACAATTACCCAAAGATAGAAATTTTGGAACACATAGAATGCAGCTTGGAACATGTACAATGCAATAATTTGAATGATGGGAGTGTGTAGGCAAAACAATACAATTACCCAAAGATATATTTGGAACACGTAGAATGCAGCTTGGAACATGAACAATGTAATAATTTGAATGATGGGAGTGTAGGCAAAACAATACAATTACTCAAAGATAGAAATTTTGGAACACCTAGAATGCAACTTGGAACATGTACAATGCAATAATTTGAATGATGGGAGTGTGTAGGCAAAACAATACAATTACCCAAAGATAGACATTTTGGAATACGTAGAATGCAGCTTGGAACATGTACAATGCAATAATTTGGATGACGGGAGTGTGTAGGCAAAACAATTAAGATATACATTTTGGAACACGTAGAATGCAGCTTGAAACATGTACAATGCAATAATTTGAATGATGGGAGTGTGTAGGCAAAACAATACAATTACCCAAAGATAGAAATTTTGGAACACGTAGAATGCAGCTTGGAACATGTACAATGCAATAATTTGGATGATGGGAGTGTGTAGGCAAAACAATACAATTACCCAAAGATAGAAATTTTGGTACACGTAGAATGCAGCTTGGAACATATACAATGCAATAACTTAAATAATGGGAGTGTGTAGTCAAAACAATACAATTACCAAAAGATAGAAAATTTGGAACACGTAGAATGCAGCTTGGAACATGTACAATGCAATAATTTGGATATGATTGGAGTGTGTAGGCAAAACAACACAATTACCAAAAGATAGAAATTTTGGTACACGTAGAATGCAGCTTGGAACATATACAATGCAATAACTTAAATAATTGGAGTGTGTAGTCAAAACAATACAATTACCGAAAGATAGAAATTATGAAACACGTAGAATGCAGATTGGAACATGTACAATGCAATAACTTGATTGATGCAAACAATGCACCCATGACAAAGATATAAATTTGGGACACGCAAAATGCAGTTTGGAACAGGTTAGATGCAACAACTTATATTGATGCAAGTATGAAGTCACAACAGTACAATACAAATATAGAAATGCACTAACTTAATTGATGCAAGTATAGATGCAATTATTGTATTCAAAACAATACAAGTGTAGTGAAATACATAAATTCTCTTGCTTGAATCGGTAGTGCAGATGTGCTGTCATAGCCTAGATAGATATGCATGCACAGCGTGTACGGACAGTACACACGCCGTGTCGGCACAAGCATAATGCATATTCATTAGGGGGCGTCAACATTTTCTTTACGTAGTTACGTGCGCAAACCTCTACAGGTTCCAAAAGATTGCCTACCTCGTAGAGGTCGATCATCAGTGCTCGTAATGCATAACAACCAACGAACTCAAACCAAGAGCGCGCGCACGTGTTACAGATCGAAGCTACGCCAAGCCAGTCGGTGGTCTCATTCTTACCCCGGAATCTGTCCTTCCAATTTGTCAGTTTGTTGACTTAAGCTAGATCTGATACAGGTAAGTCACTAAGTGATAAATCAAATTGAGAGTGATCATTTCCCCCTTTGAAATTGTAAAAATGAAGCGTTGTTGACTAGCTAGGCAGTAGGACTAGACTAGACAGCAATAACCATCTGATTTGGGTCATTTCTTTAATAAAACTGACATTTGTTGTCATTCCCCAATACTATAATCGGAGGTCTATAGTCATGATAGTCTAGTGGAGCCAGACGTAGTCTCAGTGGAACAACCGACGATTAGAGAGACTGAAGCTTTCGGTCTAGACTAGACAGAAATAACCGTCTGATATGGTTTTAATAAAAATGACATTTGTTGACATTCCCCATATAGGCCTAGGTATAGAGGCGGTCAGTGGAGCCAAATGCAATCTCAGCGGAACCACCGTCGATATCAGAGACTGAAGCTTTCGGTCTAGGCAGTAGGCCAGTGGCGGATCCAGGGGTGGGCCGAAACGGCCGCGGCCCCCCCTATTGGCGAAGAAAAAAAATTGAGAAGGAAAAAAGAGGAAGAAAAAAAGAAGAAAAAAAAGGGGGGAAGGAGAAGATAAAAGAAAAGAGAACAAAAAAGTAAAGAAAAGAGAGAGAGAGTTCAAAAAAGAGGAAAGAAAAAGAAGAGAGGAGCAGGGGAGAAAGAAAGACAACGAAATGGCACTAAAAATTAGTGACAGTAACGACGAATAAGGGAAAGACAAGGGGGAAAGGGGGGTGCGTGAAGGCGGATGCATTGAGGGGAGGGGGGGGGGGAGGGGTGACTGGCCGTATTCTTATTTTTAGGTTATGCGAAACTGAGTCGAAATTATGCTTCTTTTCAAAACAATCTTAGCATGCTTGTTTATGTTAAGCTGGAGTGCATGAAAAGGTTAGTGTAGAAACACTTCTGAAAAGGCCGAGCCCGGCCCCTCCAAAGAACGGCAGAATGGTAATCTATAAATTATGGGGTCATTCTTGATGGCTTGGGAGTCGTTATTAAGGAGGGGGCCGGCCCTACTCAAATGGTAGTGACGGTAACGATGGATAAGGGAATAAGGAGGAAGGGATGCACATGCAGGCGCGTACGCAGGGGGGAGGGGGGGGGGGTCGAACCCCCCTCAAATTTTTGTCAAGTTGTCAAGTTGGTCCTAATGTGTATAATGCGTAGACCAGGGGTTCTCAAACTTTTTCTTTGACGGTCCAGAAGCGATTTCTATGAAAGCTGTAAGGTCCGAAATGACACTTGTATACTGATGATAATGAGGCTTGTTTTTGGTCTATATCTGATCCAAGGAGAATTGTTAGTTTAAATAAAACAGAACCGCCAGTGCTTCCACTCGTTTAAATAGAGTTTCCTGAAAAAGAACACCCAATATCCTGGAATTTGAAAGAATTTTCTTAAAACTTTCAAAATGCCTCCTACGTGGATTTCTTATTTGGATGAATCGCTATGACGTTTTAATATATATCAATTATTGAGTGGGCTTATTTTGCTTTCTAATAGATCCCTACAACGTGGCAGAGCTTGAGGGGTCTGGCAGAGCCTTTTCAAGAGAGAAATTGTCTTTTAGGAGAAAAAAAGAGGTTATTTCTAAAATAAAATGAAAGGGTTATTGACTTTCAAGAGAGAAAATTGTCTATAAGAGAGGAAGAGAGGTTATTTCTAAAATGAAATGAAAGGGCTCTTGTCAAATAGCCCTTTCGTTTCATTTTTTCTCTCGAAATAAACTCTCTTTCTCTCTTATAGACAATTTTATGAGATGGAATCTTCAATCTGAAGCCTTTTTGTGCTCTTTGAAAATGGCACACTGAATGGGAGCAGTGCAATTTAAATTTCAAGGGATGGATTAGAGTTTTTATCGCTCTTGAAAGTCAAATAGCCCTTTCATTTCATTTTAGAAATAAACTCTAATACATTCCTTGATATTTAAATTGCGCCGCCCCTATTGTGTCCTCTTTTTAAAGAGCACAACAGAGCCCTCAGATTAGGCAGCAAGTAGCAAAACAAACCCGTAACACTGGACACAACATTCAATGGGATGATGCCCATATCATTGAGTTTGAAACGCACTTCTGGTCAAGAATGGTAGAAGAAGCATCTGCATAAAAAGGATAAATCCTTCACTGAATAGGGATTCTTGCTATCACTTTTACCTTTGTGTAAATAATAAAAGGTCCACGGGCGTGGTTGTTAGAAGCTTAAACTACAACTCTCTCCAATTTTGCAGGGGGAGAGCCTTTGTCGGGAGTCTTTAATAATAAAAGGGATACATCCTTCACTGAATAGGGATTCTTGCTATACGTTACCTTTCTTCGCTCCAGTGATCTCGAGGCAGCAGACAGCAAGAAATTGTGTAAATAATTTGCTGTTGCCGGGAGTCATGCATGGGGCGGAGCCCCAAGAAGTTCTTGAACTTTAAACAAAATTAGGAAATTCCAAATAGTCGTCATGAGCGATAGAAATTGTAATTTCCTCCTTGAGAGTCACATAACCCCTTTCATTTCATTTTAGAAATTAACCTCTCTTTCTCTCTTAAAGAACATTTCATATAACTTCTGTTTTCGTATTGTACTTTCGTCCGCAGACTACTTCAGCACATGTCGAGCCAACTCAGTCGGAAATGTAATATGTAGGCCTAAGTGTAAAGTTAAGTTTCATGTTCTTCTTTTTTTCTTTCTTTCTTTCTTTCTCTCCCTCTCTCTGTCTCTCTCCTTTTCCTCTATCTTTTAAAAAAAAAATCTTTCTTTTCTTGTCATTTTTCTGTGTGTGACATGCGTTACGCGTACGTCTATCAATGTCTTAATATGGTAGATTTACATTTTGATGTTTCCCTTTGTCGGTGCACCTTATACTCCAGAAAGTGCCCTATTTTGATGGTGCCCCCTCATGTATTGATCTCGATAAAAATAACTTTCTCATTAATTCTATTTCCAATATATCTAATACTTGCACTAATCTCCAATTAAAAAAAAAATCGTCAACTTTCTCTCAAGACAACATTATATAAAGGATTCATTAATGCAAGGCTATCACGCGAGTAATCTCTCAATTTCTAACTTCCTGCTTTCCTCATCTCCCAGTCTCCCTTGCTTTAATATTCCTCGTTACTTCCTTCCAATTGAACTCCAACTTAATTGATGTTATACACTGTATCTATTTTTCTACTACAAGTAGATGCAAATGTTACTCAAAATCCATTATATAAATCACACTCAAGATACAGCCAATTGACGAGAATTGCTTCAATCTATATTTTACATGTATCAGTATCATTATGGTTTTACAATGGCTATGGTGATGAGTTGTCTAGGTAACATGTTGATGTGTTTGTTAAAATGTATTACCATGGTGCACCTTCTTGGTTGGGTATGTATTAACGTAAGTTCGTGCCTTTACATATCACAGTAGAAATCAATGTTTTATATTTGATGCAGAATAATATTAATATTTGGAGATTAGAAACACAAACAGTTTTCATAACCGTTCAAGTGTTTCAAGAAAAAGTTAAGCAAACTTTCTCCTGGATGTAAATTGGAATTTTAAGCGGTTTCATTGGAATTAATCGAGAAATTCCCCTCGCTAGCGTGTAAATAAAAAATACGCCGGTCGGCCATACGTAAATGGCAGTGTCATATTGGGGATGACCATACTATCATTTTAGAGTGTGCAATCTGGGTCGGAATCCAGCATAATATATTTATAAAAAAGAGGTTCACATAAAAGCACTCATGATAAAGCCGCGCCCGGCCCCTACAACATCATTTTGGATTTTCAGATGATGGGGCGGGTGGCAGGGGTAGGGGGCAAAGTTCGCCCCACTCTTCAAGTACCCCCCCCCCCAAGGGCCACTTTTACTTTGTAAAGAAGTGCCCCTTCCCCTTTTTAAATCGGATAAGCGCACATTTCATCAACACATGTGCCCCCTTTCCTATCTGATAAGGGCTATTTAGAAAAATGAGGCCCTTCATAAATAAAAAGTGTCCCTTTTCATCTCTGGTAAATGACCATTTTCATATATGAAAAGTTAATTCTTTTCACTTCAGTGCGCTCTTCACCTCCGATAATTGCCCCTATTCAAATCTGAGAGATGCTCGTTTTACTTTGAAAAGTACCCCTTCCCCTCCTGATAAGTACTCTTTTCATCTATGATGGGCGCCCATTTTCACCTTTGCTAACTGCCCTTTAATTTTGAATCGTGCCCCTTTTCCTTTCTATTAAGGGACCTATTCCCTTTTCATAAATGCCCCTTTTCACCTCTGATAAATCAATTTCTGATGGATGCCCCTTTTCATACCCCATACTCATAAGTGCCCTATCTTATTTCTGGTGAGTGCCTCCTTTCAGGTGTAAGAAGTGCCCAGTTTGAACCTTTGATAATTACTCTTTGTACCTTGACACATGCTCCTTTTCTTTTCTAATAAGTGTCTTTATCCCTTTCGATATGTGTCCCCTTAACCTCTCATCATCAGGCACGTAGGCACGGGGGGGGGGGGGGGGGGGGGGGGGGGGGGGCACGTGCCCCCTAACCTGCTCATCATTAGTCTTGCACCTAATTTAAAGCGACTAAGAGTAATTTCCCCTAGAGCTCGCTCGCTCGCTCGCATTTATAGATGATACAATTATATGTCACTTTAAAACAAATGTTTTTTCAGTCTTCCGTGATGCTTATGACCCCTTCATGATTTGGTTTTTTCCTCTTTATAAGATGTAATTTTTCACTCTGCGACCTCACAGATCTTACATTTTTTTCTCGCTCGCTTTGCTTGCTCGCAAATGAATATTCAGACAATCACACTCAGCCGAAAGTGTGATGCTTAAGCAATAACTTGTATGATATATAAAGAAAAACAAATATTGAAATCGTCCCTGATAATGGGATCACAATGAAAGGGTATATACCAATGTCTAAAAAAATGTATATTTTCGCTTTGAGATTTCGCTTTGTAGGTGCCCTTTTTGTTGGTGCTTTCCACTTTGGAAATAGCTCCGCCGCCCCTGCTTACGCATTAGCGCCAGCGTTAATTTCACGCTTGCGCGCACAGGGGGTGTCTGTGTGTGTGTGTGTGTGTGGGGGGGGGGGGGTTCCTCTCTAGCTCTGAAGCTGATTTTTTTTTTTACCTAGATTAGTGCGATTCGGTTAATACTTTTAGAGGGAGTCTGAGGGGTGATGTGCCCCCTCTGAAGCTGACATTTTTTTTTGATTTTTGAAACTGGATTCGTGCGTTTTGGTTGATACTTTTTTGGGGAGTCTGATTTGATTTCAAAACACCTGCAGTTAATGCGGGATGGTGTTGCAGCCTCTCTTTCCCCGAAAATTTAAAAATTACCAATATGCATTTGTTATATCTTATCTCGTATATTTACAATTAACACTTTTCACAACATAAATAAACTCAAATTTCCGCTTACTCGCTTCGCTCACTCGCCAAATTATTAAACCAGGAAATAGATATTAGGGCAAGAGGCTTCAGCCCCCACTGATGGAAATGTCAAAAAAATTGCGCGCGAGCATAACTTGAAAACGGGGAATGTTGATATCGGACAAGAGATGTGACGTGAGCATGTCCCCTTTCCAAAATAATTGTGCCCGTTTGTAGGTACCAGTATGCTATTAAAGTACAGTGCTTCTAATATGACCTTGTCAGTATTGGTAAGTTTATATAACGGTCTGCGCGAATTTCGAATTTCCGGCCCCCCCTATTGGAAAATCCTGGATCCGCGCCTGGTAGGCTACTCATATTTCGATTTATTACTAATTTATTAGCCGTACCATGCACACATAGACTACATTAGACCAAATTTTTCTGTCTCTTTCGTTCGTTAGCCAGCCTCTGATTTGGATTTTGTGCCTCTGGGTAGGTCGGCTCTAAAGAGAGAGCCGACCTACCCAAATCAGAGGCTAACGAACGAAAGAGACAGAAAAATTTGGTCTAATATCACGTCATAGGAGCATCACTCACTAGCCCTGGCTTAGACCGAAAGCTTCAGTCTCTATAATCGTCGGTTGTTCCACTGAGACTACGTCTGGCTCCACTAGACCTCCGGTATATAGAGACTGAACGACTGCCTATGCCAGCCTGTGTTGAACTTATTCCGCTAGATTTTAGCCGCTAGGCCCCTCCCACAAACTTGCCACGGCCGTATTGTTATGCCCCCAAAATCCCCCAAAATGTCATTTTACCTCGTTCATTTCCAATTTTAAATTAGGCCTAGGCTATAATACATCGGTTCCACTTACTAACTTGATTGATGTAATCCGTTTAATGGTCCCTTTTAAGGAAATTATCGGTCAAAATCGACATCCATGTTGAAAATCTTGCAAGCCGTGTTAAACTCTCGCTGCCGTCAATCTCATCCCTTCTAGTCTACGCCGAAGGCAAAATGATTATGAAGGAAAAACTGTGATAACGCCATTACGAACGTGTAGATGGCGCACAGTTTTTGGGAGGGGCCTAGCGGCTAAAATCTAGCGGAATAAGTTCAACACAGGCTGGCATAGGCAGTCGTTCAGTCTCTATAACCGGAGGTCTAGTGGAGCCAGACGTAGTCTCAGTGGAACAACCGACGATTATAGAGACTGAAGCTTTCGGTCTAGCCCTGGCTGTGCAGTAAAAGCTGTGCCTTTTCTCAACATTTCAAATACCACTGTACAAGATCAACTGATTTCACTCAAAATCGGTACTTTAGTGACAATTGATGATACATTTTTTCTGCAGAGCTACCAAGTATCACGCATTTGGCGTGACACCACGCATTTCGAGGGGCTGAAAATGCTCTTACGCACGATGCGCGCTAGATTTTGAAAAACGCTATACCTTATGCGTGTGTTATACCCTCGCACGCGCGCTCACGCGCCGAATCATGAAAATGTCACGCATTGCCGATCTTTGAACTTGGCGTCTCTGCTGTAGATCTAAGAGGCTGTTCACACCGGCAGAGATAGCGCGCGCTAGACCGCGCTATCTCCGCAGTTTGGAAGGTACAACGTCGTTTCGGTCCGCCCAACAGCGAGTCACGGCGAGCCAACACTGGAGCACCTCTTGGGGGTGGTCCACGAGAGATAGCGCGGGCTAGCGTGCGCTAGAAAAAAGGGGGTGCTACGATAGACCGCGCTATCTCATTGCGGTGTGAACAGCCTCAATGTCTACTGAGCTGACTGTCAAACTTTGCTTACAGCCGCATCGGCATGATTGTGTGCAGTCTATGCAATATTGTGTGGTATGTAAATGTGTGTATACTAATTACTATGGGTCTAATAATACCTGCCTCACATCAAGTATGTAGTGCTAGAGGCAATACGCACTAGCATTGACCCTCTATCATTGACTCTCTATGCTTTGCTGGAGTGGTGCCATGGCCGTGCCAGGAGCGCTCCGGGAGCCGAGGTCTGGTCTGCGCTGCTTGAATGAACGACTCCCCCGGGGGTGCAGTCAGAAATTATAAATTTGAATATTTTGTTCGGTATTGGTCAACCCACAAGTATTTCATTATAACTAGATTAACCGATGTATTCAGTAGAGCAGGCTTATCTTTCTGTTCAAACAAGAACCTTGCTTCCATCAGTATCTGTGTCAATAGAAATCTTGTAAAGGGTCAACACCATGATTATACAAGGTAATTTTACCTTGCAATAAAATGCCTATTATGCCTGGTCAGCAAACTAGCAGTTTCAAACAGGCATAATCTTCCTGATATTTTCACTCTTCCGGGTTTCACTATTGACTTTGTGTACAGCAATTGCAGTCAATATTGAGTTTTGACGTAGTCAATATAATTTGAGTAAGGGCAATATTTCCTGGTATCTCCCTCAAGGTCAGTCAATATTATATAAATATTACACTGGTTAAGCTAGGAGGCATAAAGTTTCCCCCAATCATAAAATGATTATTATATGGTGAGAGCTTAATTGCGAATAGCAATATATGGTTGAAAAAGGATGGTCTGGACTTTGGAAAATGGTTTGCAATCTGTGCATTCTATTATGATCAGTTTACTTTGCTTACATTTCTATCATATCCAAGTTCTGTCCTGAACAGCACAAATCCAATTGGAGCCTTTCCACATTTTCATGATCTCATCAGTGGATGGTGGATCTGTCTATTTCTGATCAATGAGACTAAACAGACATACATTTTGCACTAATTGGGTGAGATCTCTGATGAGTGCAAGGCGATAAGGTTCAGTAGGTCTGTTCTGTTGCTATTCTTTGATTTTGTAGTTACCAATAATGAGAACGTTCGTAGTGATTATTTTGTTATTTTTCTCTTGAAATGTTGAAGTGATACATAGATTTCATTTTTATACTGATGTCTTCTATCTCTCATTCTGTGTCTCCTTCACCATAGACCGTTTTTGTGAGAATTGAGTCTTCATACTTCATACTTCAACAGCAGTCTATATTATACTGGAAGAAGAAGTACTCCATCTTAGTGGTCCAGCCATGAAGGTCTTGGTAACAGGTGCATCTGGTCTGATGGGTCGAGCTCTCATGAGGGAGTTTGAGAGGACGCCCTCATGTGATGTCTTAGGTCTGGCGTTCTCTCGTGCGAAGGGCTCTCTCCGGAAGGTTGACATCAGAGACGAGGGGGAGGTCAGAAAGGTCATGCAAGAATTCCAGGTGAGCTGGTAACATTTTGTAGAGGTGTACAGTCAAGTGGTTTATTCATTCACATGTAGATGCAAAGGTCGTAGATGCAAACCCAGGCATAGCACTACTGTCCTCAAAGGGCAATCCAACCCTTGTAATAAGTAGATTTGTATGAAAGCAGAGAAATGATAGAAACAGAATGGCAAAAGTTTGAAACGGACCAATAGTAAGAAGTTATGAATGTTTGAAATATGAGATCACTAAGGTTATGGAAATATCAAATTGGTAGTTCGGTTAGTGGATTGTGATGTAGGACGTGGATAACTCTCCCATTTACCATGTACAAAAATATCATTAATTTCTTCTCCCTTGTGGCACTTGTGGTAAGCACATGTTTTTTTTTTTTGGGGGGGTCCAGTTTTGGGGGGAAATTTTTGCGCCGACTCAGAAAATAAGCGGCGGGGGGGGGGGGGGGGGGGGGGGGGGGGGGGGGGGGGGGGGGGGATGCTGGAGAGGAGGACCACTCATTTTTTTTTTGGGGGGGGGGGAGGTGAAGTGCCATTTTTTACATGAGTTTCTTTTTAAATCTCACTTTCACCTATCCCAGATAACCCTAAGTTTTTTGTTGCTGCTTTCTATGTAGTTGATAATGCCTGATTAAAATAAATAGAGAGAGAGAGAGAGAACCACCATCATTATGCAATGGTTCAGGACTTGTGTAATGTACATTTGAAACCATTTCTCAGCGTCTCGACCCTAAAAAACTAGCGAAACTATTTTTGAGGAAAAGCATTATACTGAACTGAATAAAGAATAATAACTTTATATTGGCTCATACTGATGCGGGCTAAAGACAATGTGGTATCGGCACAGTAAGATCGGGTATTTTTATAGAGGCATTCCAAAATGACATTCTGATAATCAACATTTTGTTCTGTATTATACGCATAATACAATTGATCTTTATGATTTCTTAACGGTGACATAGGTTCTTCTCCCCCTGCAAACAAAAAAGAAGACAACGTTATTTAATAAAAGGATCATGCGACAAATAATCAATGTGAATCAAATTGATGCAAAGATTTTCACCAGAATCTTTTTTGTAAAAACGACTTTTACAAATCTCAGCCATGCAATTCTGCCACTGTGCTGTTAGATCTCTTTCAGATTAGGAGAAGTGTATTCTTTAATGAGTATTTTAAATTGAATGGAACGTCTCAACTCGGTAAGCATGGCAGAGATTTGTAAAAGTTATTTTTACAAAGAAGATTCTGGTGAATAGCAGTGCTTATTCAAACAAATATTTGCATCAAGTTGAATCACAATCATTATTTGTCACTTAATCCCTTTTAATGACCTTGTTTTCTTTCTCGTTTGCAAGGGGAGAAGAAGATATGTCAAGTTAAAGGCATCATAAAGATCAGTGTTTTATGCGTATATGTTATATACACAGGCCCCGCGAAACATGTATCAAAGTGGGAGGCTAAAGTATTTACGATCAGGTAGAGGGTAGCGAGAATTAATAAATAATTTTTTTGAAATTAATTTGTTCATATTTCATTCAAGTTATCGATCACTTCAAAATGCTGATTATATTCAGAGGATTTCATTTTGGGGGGCCTGCTAATGGGCCACCCTGCCTATAATGTTCCAACCTAAATTTTTCATCATATCGAATTGCGTAATGCAGGTGAGACCGCCAAGAGCGTTTTCTTGTTTGTAGTCTTAATGAATGAATATACAGTAGAGAGAGAGGGAGGATTGAGGAGTCCTGAAAAGGACTCTCGGTAATCTTTCTTGAGGGTTTGTAGTCCTGAAAAGGACTGTTGGTTATCTGAATGAATGAATGTTATCATGATGTAGGATTCCTGAAAAAAGTTGCTGTTATATATAAAAACTGGATGTTTTATATAACATTCCCATGGCTGTATCCATGTCGAGTGTAATCATTAAAAATGTGCGATCTTAGGTTTAGCATGAATGTGATATTGCAGCCCCTTATGCTCTGTCATTGGAAATAGGAAAGAGCATTATAGGAATGTGGATGCAGTAATCAAATTGCAATACTGCTGTTGATGTATAAAGTATAAGTATAAAACTCTATGTTTTCATTTCATCCTATACAGCCTGATGCTATAGTACACGCTGCAGTACAAAGAAGGCCTGATGTGGTAGAGAAGGATGAAGAGGCAGCCAAGAAAGTTAACTGCAGTGCAACTGAGACAATAGCCAAGATTAGTGGTAAACAAATTAAGATACAACTGTGAAGTTTGTTTCTGTTATCAAAATTAAGCTATTACTTCCAAAGAGCTGGTAACTCACTTAAATCTAAATGTTCTCAGCAAGATTTGTGTGTGTTGTTGTTGAGCGAGTAGAAGAATTTTATAAATCTGTTTGTGTGTTTCTACTATGAGTGTTGTGCTGCTAATTATTTCAGAACAATTTTTTCAGTTGTTGAGGCTAAAAACAAGTAAAATCATTAATAAATAGAGAATTAAAATGCCCATCTTATTTACCGGTATTTACAGCCCAACCCTGCCATTGATGGAACCATTCTCATTGGCTAAATTCTTGAACCCATTTTATAATATATTGTACAAATGAAAAGAAAGATACCTGTAGATGTTCGGAGCAGGTAGTCCTGGAAATAATCATTGGTATTCCACTTTTGAGTAGTTCTGCAATTTTGTAATGCTTGTTTGTGTATATTTTTTCAGCTGAGATGGGTACTTTCCTGATCTACATCAGTACAGACTATGTGTTTGATGGAACCAAACCTCCATATAAACCCACAGATGCTACCAACCCTCTTAACAAGTATGGACAACAAAAACTAGAAGGAGAGAAGATCTCCCAAGCACATGCTCCAAGTAAGTGTTCTTGTGACTGATTGTGTGCAAATGTTGTTAGACTAATGCTCTTTTTAATGTATTGTATTGTGCAAATTGATCTATATGTGTATAAATATGTGAATATGTTAAAATGTACCATCATTGTAAATATGAACGATTGAAAGAGAAAAAATAAATGAATTGAATTGAATTGAATTGAATTGAGTTGAATTGAATTGAGTTGAACTGTTACAAATGCTTCATAGTCAATTGCCTATACTAACTGAACTTCAAACCTGGACCCAACACGTTACCCAACCCTAGACACAACCCTAACCCTAACATAAGACTTAATTGCAAACCTCACAATTAAACTTTGTCGAGATGGCACAGGCTGAGGCAAGCATAAACACATGCCCTTGCATCAGATCTGGTCATTGGTCTTACTTGTTATTTTCTCTTTGGAAACATTGATATATTGTGCAATTGTAATTGTTCTTTATGGCCAATTTGAAACATGGAATGCATTTGCTATCACCTTCATTAGATACACAGCAGAATAATTTGTTAAGTGTTTGACTTAGGAGGGGTTGATCTAGAGGTAAATAGTCAGATGTTAATATCTTTAGTTTTTCTCTGTTTGATTGTGGGCTTATTTTGCCTTCTAATGGATCCATACAATATGGCAGAGCTTGGGGGCCTGGAAGAGCCCCTGTCTGTTTGATTGTAGTGTGTACCATCCTTAGAGTGCCCATTATGTGTGCAGGGTCAAATTCAAACATTGAATGAGCGAGGGAGCCATCACCATCTTCCTTTGATGAGCTCAGGAGGTTGTCCAGAGTTTTTTGCGGGGGAGGTAGTGGCTGAAATAGCCAAACAATAATATTGTATGCTGTCTGGACATGGATTGTGCCTGCATCATGAATTGCCTATTTGAAACATCAATGTCTCATTGAAAGGTTGTATCTTGGATGGTTGTTCCGCAGTTAAAATATCTAGGCATACTTTCCAGACATTAAAGGAAACCTCACCCAAATGAAAAGGTGAAGGTATTCTAAAAAAATGAGATGTTTTCCTGCCCTTTGATGTACAATATTCCTTACAAAATGATTCTTGCTTTACCGGTAAGCCTCCCTCATACACTTTTGTTGGGGAGTTTTGTAGATTAATGGGCAAGAATAAAATAAATCTCTCAGAAAAAGTTATTTCTTGGGATGAGGCCCAGGGGCCACTATCATACACATATGCTACCCACCCGTATCCATCAACCTCTGAAATGGACCCTAATGGCGTATTGCACCTTTTCTTAAATGACCCTTTTTTAAGAAAACGTTGAAACCTGTGAACCTGAAAAGGTACCCTTTTTTTGTTTTTGTGCGATCATTGCTTGAAAAATGCCCTATTTAAAGGAAAACGTCGACAATGCTGAACCTGTGAATTTGAAAAGGTACCCTTTTTTTGTTTTTGTGCGATCAGTGCTTGAAAAACACCCTTTTAAAAGGAAAATGTTGACAACGCTGTATACCTGAAAAAGACACCTTTTCAATGCTCTTTTTTGGACGCAAGTGCGTAGCCAGTTGTGTTTGGAGTGACCCCCCCCCCCCCCCCCCCCCCCCCCCCCCGCTAATGGGGATGAGGTTTCCTTCAATCTTTTTCTCTCTCTTTGATCCTAGATTGTGCCATTTTACGAGTGCCCGTCCTATATGGTCAGATTGAGACAGTGGAAGAGAGCGCTGTCACCGTCCTTCTCAACACCTTGGTGAATCGAGAGAAGACAGACATGATCGATGATTGCTGCACCCGATGCCCGACTTCTGTTGACGACATAGCTGTGGTCTGCAGACAGATGTGTGAAAGATGGAAGACGGTATGAATACATCCCTATTATTATGTAGTTTGCACACCTGTACGTGGGAGGCAAAGAGCGAACTGGATCACTGTAACCCTTTGGTCTCTCCTCCCGGTATAACTGATCGGGGATGTGCAGGTGGACCACTACTCCGGGGGTTCCCCCTTACTCTTATGCGAATAGTGCAGTGGGTTCTTAATGTGTAAAGGTGGTTATTGTCCTTTACGAGGGACGGAGTGTTTTCCACTGTAACATAGCCAGCGTCTTTGGAACAGAGAAGGAAGGGGCTCGTTGATACACAACACAGGCTTCAGTCATCCGCCTGGGTTGGATTCAAACACACAATCTTTGGTTCGACAGGCAGACTCTTTACAGACTGAGCCAACTTGTCTCAACTTCTGCTTGATATTCGTCCTCTCTGATCCGTCTGTCCATTTCTGCTACTTTATCATTCTCTTTTTCCCTTTTGCTTTTAATCTTTTACATACGCAAACATGTTTCCTGCTAATGTTTCATGTTTGCAAAACATTACTATAACAGAGAAATGTAGATAGTTGTGTCTCATGGGCAGACAGAGAACAATAGAGAATCAAAAGTTATTCATTGCTAACATCAAGAATGTTAATGTGTACAAATACATACTTATCAGATTATAAAACTGTAGTTCACTTTGTCGTTTGTCCCTGGACTGTCATGAAGTATTCTATATTTTTAGCAAGATTAGAAGACGAAAAAAGATTTTATGTAAATCATTGACTTGTCTCTCAATCTCTCTGTAATATAGGGTCCTAAGAATCAATATGGTATCAACTGTTTGTGAATCAATGATTTGACCTTTAATCTCTCTTTTTTTTTAGGATCCTAAGACAATGAGTGGCGTTTTCCATTGGTGTGGATCTGAGTTCATGACTAAATACACCATGATAACAAAAATAGCCGATGCCTTTAACCTGCCTCATGATCACCTTAAACCAGACCCAGTCCAACCAACAGGGGGAACGTTACGCCCCAAGGATTGCTCCTTGGACCGGTCTAAGCTGGAAGCGCTCGGTATCGGACAGACCACGCCTATTTGGGAAGAGCTACAAAAAGTCATGGCACCATTCGTGACTAGTCAGTGATAGCTAATTTAGTTCTTTTGCTTCTTCAATTTTGGTAAATGGTGGCAGTACAGTATTTAAAAACATGGGTGTTATTCTGTAAGCAATGTTATATTCTATATCCGGGTAAGGGGGAAAATGGTTCATTTCATAACAATCTATGCTAAGACAAGTTGTTGTTAAATGTCTTCTTAGAGATAGCTGCATTCGCAGGAAGTTAAAAGAGACATCTGAACAAGCAAAAATGATAGGTGTTAATTCTGTACATTTTCAGTTTGTTTGACTATTAAAGGCATCGTTTAACAATGTTAAATCTGAGATGCATGGCCTACGTGTTATCAGTTTCTGTGATATGGTGTAATATCGAAACCCTAAAATATTGGCGCTTCAAAATTAGTGCCTCAAAAAGTAAAAATCTTTGAGTGATGGGTTTTACCATACTCATTTTCCATAATAGACCGTAGTGTTATAAAAACTGTAAGGAAAAAAAAAATGAAATCTCGATTTCCAATCATAAATATCTTGAAAATCAGACAGGCGATCGGCTTGTAAAAGTCATGGGATTCCTGACTGACCTAAAGTTTTATAGTTATGGTTGCAGCATGAGCTAAATCCAGGATTTTGTTTCAGAATAAGTGGCAATGTTACGATTTATTTTCAATTTAACATATGTACTAGTCATATAATTATTTTGTGCTAGGTGCTCACATTAGGATCAAATTAATCAAAAATGTTAAAATTGTTTAATAATTGATTAATTTTACTCAACAAGCCCAAGTTGTCTAGTTTTTCAATATTTTCAGCTTTTCAGTAAATGAGAGGCAGGACTTGCAAGGGGTCAAATGATGGAGCATGGGTAACTGCTAACTGCCTAGCTTGGACAATTCCTCTTGGGGGGGGGGGGGGAGGGAGATTCTAATTGTTCATAATTTGCTTAGTGTGATTACTCACATAATATTGAACTGTTATACAAAGTATAGTTGTACATGTACTACTTTTTATAACAAACTTAGGTAAATAAGAAGCCAACTTTAAAAAGGTACATTCACTTTACTTGCTGTTATTATCACATTGTGCCAAAACATTATGTGTATCGTGTTGAAATTGCTGACAAGAATAACTAATAGATGATCATGTTTTTATTCTGAGCCTTTTTACAGTATAGAAGTGTTTTTTTTACCAGTACTGGAGTTTATCTTAAAAGATAAACTTGAGTTCTGGTAAAAGAAAGAAAATGAATTCTCACAGAATCAAACGAAACTTATACTGAATGTTCAAGATTACAAATAAATGTCATTTGCCAAACAATTTTGGTAGAAAATGTATTCTGGCTGAGTAATGAGCATAGAAAGATAAGAAAATCAAGGTAAGTAACCCCGACACCATTCGTGCAGTCCCATATACATCTTTCTGTGTACAGTACTTGTAGTTATTACTTTATCAAGACTGGGCCAAATTTATTATGATTTCGATGACTCCAGAACCTTGCATACACACCAATACTTACATGCTACATGATCAACTGTGTCTGATCCTTTCCACACCTTTTCTTTCACAATGCAATCGCATTACCAGTACTAAAGTTTATCTTTAATATTCAACCCATGGTGAATGCCTTTCATGCTCTAAGCAGACAAAATGTAGACGGCGGAAGGTGAGATTCTTTGTTTTTCATGTTTATACCCATACTAGGCGTTATGGGGAGAACTATCATGAAATCACCAATAGTAGGCATTGACACAGACTGAAATATGCCAGGAAATATTTGTAATGATTTATAGTAATTTTTATTCATTGGTTGTTCATTTTCCTATTACCCATGCCTCCACAGCGAGCTCTCTTAATATAGCAAGGTAATTTTGTTTGCAATACTTGTTCTTTAGTTTGCATTATGATTTAACCCCAATATGAAAATGTTTCAAGACAAGGATAATTTGCTTGATGGCTAAGACTCTACTGTAGCAGTAGTGAATGACCAATGCAGTCGGGTTCGTGTTATCTTATTTGTCTCTCTTGTATCA